TTTCAACAATGATTGATGCAGTACCGACGTACTATAAAGACATTGAAGTCGGTACTATGCATCAGTATCTTAGATATAAAAAACCAGGCGACAAGTACGGAAAATATTATGTTAAATGCAATGAACTAGTAAAGCGTCCTGACGGAACTATATGCCACTGTGCAATGGAAGAAATGCGTGAGGATCATTTCAAAAAATAGATCCAAAACAAACGGCACATATGCACACCAGGAGAAGTAGCATCACAACAAACAATCGATCAATACTATCAAAACGTCCCAGCAACAGGGCTTACACCTATATCGTTAGGGATATCTATGAACAGCTTGCTACATTTACTGGAAGATTTAACTTGGCTCTGAATACCTTCTCAAGCCCAGAGTTTACAAAGCTAGTTAAAACCATTATAATGTATACTGCAGACTCGATGATATTGAAGTTCCCACAGTTACACAATGTTAACATCAATGTTGATAAACTAGCTTCTCAAATATACCAGCCTATTTCAACTGACAAACTAAGGCAAACAATGATACAAATTGCAAATTCAATCCATGTTGCAAAAGTTGATGAGTTTGCTAAGCTTGCCTGTACCTGTGTTGCCATTGATGAGGGGAAGACTCAGCAGTTTCACAATCTGGACTTCTCCCTCACAAATCCTCTGCAAAGCAAGCGGCCCTATCCTGTTGAGTCAATCCAAATGAATGGTGGAACATCTGAAGATTATATCCACTCGCTTACTCAAGGATTTAACAGAATCTTCATTAGAGATGTTAAGATCAGCAGTGTAGTTTGCGATGGCAATAAAGCGCAATTGAAATGTTTTCAGAAAGGATGGAATCAATCGTTCTACAACTCAAATGACCCAAGGTTATTCAAAATCTTGTTTATCCCGTGTTTATGCCACAGGATTCATAATTGTTATCAATATATGACAACAAAAGACGTAGCATTAGGAGCAATTGTGAAACATATCCACGAAATATCAGCTCTTTGTAGAATCCATGTTGAAGACATCGGAGCTCTCTGTCCAAAGCATGTATCCACCAGGTGGATCTATGATTATAATATTTGTATGTTTATTATCAAGTATCAAGACAAAATTTCAAGATATACGCGTATTGATATTGAAAACATCAAGTTCTTAAGAGACTGCTTGGCAATTCTCAAGAAGCTTATTTCCACGTTCGAATCAGATAAAACCAAGATATCTGATTGCTACGTATGGCTTTGCAAGGGTATTGAAGCACTCCAATACCTTTCCAGCAGCAACAACAATCCTTTTGCTGGAATCCTTTCAAGATCGTTGTTGAACTATACCCTTGGATCGGACTTTGGAGGTCTTTGGTGCTTAGCCTTCGCTTTTACACCGAAAGGTAGGTATTATTTCAACCAAAAATTCGTCCACGGAGCGCAGATCAACGAATCTCCGGCAATTAATTCATTTGATATTACAAACGTAACTTTCGTTAATCCAGTAGAAGACATTCAATCTATCTATATGGACTCTATCTTTGAAGAAGGTTCGACTGAAGTTTCTCTTGATATGGTTGAGGAGGGATCAATTCGTCAGGTAACTGCTACAATTGACCCTCCTATGCTTGATCTCGCAGATGTAACATCTAGTTCAAATCAGCCGGTTAACCATTTTGTTGCAGCTAGGCAGTATCTCAAAAGTATTTTGGAACAATTTCGTATTCCGGGTCAAACAATAACAGATATTATTACACTATTTAACACGTATATTAATAGTGATAATGATATCTTCTCTGATGATATGATTCAAGAACGTCAAGAATACGGTTGGGAAGAAATCTCTCATAGAGATGGCAATGTATCAATCTTTGCAGATATCGCCCTTCGTGTTATCTCCGCTTCACCTTCAGAAGCAACATGTGAGAGAACAATAAAAGACCAAAGATTGATACTAAATTTGAAAAGATTACGTTCTCACAAAATTTTATTAGATAGCCGAGAAATTTTAATGGCTACAAAATAAATATCTATATTTATTATTAAAAATTGTTTTATATTTTATCTGTTCAATATTTATCTCATATAAAAATTTGAAATACTTAATCAAAATTTCTATGTGTTTGTTTGAAAGAGATCGATAGCAATTCATATATCTTTTGAATTTGCTAATTGTGGTGATGGTACTATTATTATTATTTTTATTTTTATTTTATTTTTTTTTATTTTTTTTTTTATTTTTTTTTTTTGATAATATACTATTTAGATTTATACATTCATTCAATATTATGAAATAAATATTTCTAAATTGATCTGATTAATTTTTCATTAAAGTTTATATTATCACCAAATAAATTTTCGAACCCTTAGAGTCATAGTTCAATGGTAAGAGTCATAGTATAATCGTAAAGTCCATTGGTTCGAATCAAGGGGATTTTCACACTTTTTTCTTTTTTAAAATTTCAGAGGTTTATTTTTAAGGTTCTCGCTGGCGACCCCCGTTCGTCGAAAAAAAATTGATTTTTGCTGGCGACCCCCCAATCACCAATTTTTTTTCGACGAACGTGGGGGTCGCCAGCGAGAACCTTAAAAAAAACAGAATCCCAAAAAAGGTGACGTTTTGGGTGTATCGTCTATCCCAGGGATAGAAAAATGACTTCACCTTGGATCTATATTCAGATTTTTTTTCAGTTATAGATTTTTTTTGAAAAAATGATGTTAAAATTTTTGAAATTTTATAATTTAGAGAGAAAAAAGCATTTTTATTGTGTTCCTAAACGAAAAAGCATTTTTATTTTTGTTATTCTATAATTTATCTACTAAAATATGTCAATTAAACAGAAGAATCAAATAATTATTTTTCATCGATTTTGGAAAGAAGCATATTTTCCAAATATAGAATATTATTATATATAGATAACCAGCTAGTGTTAGTAATATAAAAATATTTCTTGTTCAAACAAAGGATTATCTTCACAAGTTTAGAAACTTTTGTAAATATCTAGAAAACAATTAATAACATCATGATGTTATTCACAAGTAAGTTCAAAATTGTATATTGTGTTTTTGTATTTTGGGAATAAATCTGAATAAAGTGTGTATTAAACTCGCACATTTAGACTTCTCATCATAATCATGATACAAGTGTTGCACATATCTGTTGTTTCAATATTGTTTTAATTTTATTATTCCAAAATAGTACTTTGGTTATCATTGGCAATACGTAGGGTTGCTACTGTTGCAATATTTCGAAGAAATAAATTATATCAACTTTAAAGCAAGAAATGATGAGTTGAACAGCGAAAAATTGGAATTTTCATAAGAGTATCATGCAACAGAATACAAAAAATTGATAATAAGCACAAACATATGTTTAGTTATTACTTTCATTTTATTTTTTCAAGCCCATAAACTATTTGAGCCAATTCAGAAATTGAAAAGATTTTTATCGTATACAATTTTTCATTTTGACAATAATACACATCACATTTTAATATAGCTCTTAGGGTTAATCATAATTCAATTACTTTTCTGAGTTATCACAATTCAGATCATATCGATATTTCTAAATTAGTATGCTAAACATATTCTTATTGAGTTTGTCAAATATTTAAATTCTGATGAAAGAATTTTGTTTAATCAATTTTTTATGTGGTATAAGGGTTTCGTTTTGCTAAAATTGTCACTTTTATAGCATATTTGTTTTTGGATGTTTGGCGAAACCAAAAAAAACTATGATATACAATGTGTGTGTAAAGAAAATACTTTATTTACTAGTTAAAAAATCATTTGGTATTGATCAAGTTATTTTTTCTGGATAAGATATTATATGGATAATTGGATAGAAAATACAATTATATAATCTTGTACCTGGTTTAATTAAGCTAATTGTCATCAGAAACTTGTAATTTTTATGAATTTCAGATTTTCTTTTCATTACTGCTTTTCTTAATAGGTCAAGTTCTTATTTACGTTATAAAGTATGATATTTACAAATATCAAGTTATCGTGTTTTTTGAGAAATTATGAGAAACAAACAAAAATGAAAAAGATAGGAATAGCAATGAATAGTGATGTGGGTATAGAAAATGTAAGAGATATGAATGCAAAGCAATCAGTATTTAGGACATTGACCATAGATTTCGAAAAAAAAATGCTGCATATTGAGCGAAAACTATGATTATATTATAAGGCTGTCATTTAAAGCATAATGAAACTATTCCCTTTTCATTTTAATCGAATAAGATAGTAAAGATTTTTGAATTAGCTAGAAACTGATGAGATGTTTTCACAAATCAGATTTTTAATCTCTATAATGCATAATTCACTCAATATCTCAATTTTGATATTGCGAGATATTTTTGCTATCGGTTTCGCAATTTTGACACAATAGCAAGAGGGTTCTATAAGCATTATTATCAACGTAGAATCTGAATATGATATCAGAAAATGTCGCAAATCTAACATTTACCCGACCAAATAGCAAAAATAATTGAATACTTTTCGCAAAAACTTTAAAAATCACTAAAAATATGAAATATAGATATTAAAGAGACTTTTTATATAATATTCATAAAGATTTTCCAAAAATATGATACCGCAAAATTAAAAAAGTGACGTCTTGAGTGGAGTCAAAGGTCGAAATTGCTAGCTAAATGTTTTTTAGCGAAATTGCGTATTGTACGTTTTTTTCGCAAAACGAAACCCTTATGTGGTATTAATATTTAAATATAAAAATGTGAAAACTGCAATATTGAAAAATAAACTTTTGAAAAAATAAATTTCGATGGAAATAAACCCATGATTGAACAAATGCTGCTTGAATAATTTATAATGATAATTTACTAATTTCGTTATTAAAAAAATTGCGGAATTTTTTTTCAATACATATATCAAAAATTGAATGGTCATCAAAAATAACGTATTCAAATATCATTCTTTATGCCACTTTTATATGCCAGATATCAAATCCATAGTCCAAATGATATTTAGAAATAATTATTTCATTGATTTTTCATTTTTATTTAATGAATCAAGAGAATGTTCAGCACCTAAATCCCACGATCACGCCTTCAATGGAGACTACTGCACAAGCATTATCAATTTCTCACAAGAAAACCTTTAAGGACGATTTATTTCCCCTTTGTGCTGAGCTTTTTCATAAAGTTCATTGTCCAATATTTGTGGTATATCCATTCTTAATGGTTTTCTTTCTACAAGTTTTATTCGTCTCATTATGGCCTTGGTCTCCATATTGGAATCAAGCTCATAATACGAATGTTATGAACTGGCTTCGAACAATTATCTTTTACCTACCTGTTCCTCATGATCCTATTCTACATTTCTACTCATCTTTAGTATATTTCTTATTGAATTTAACAGCCATTGTTCTTATTAAAATTCAACAAAGTTATTTCAAATATCAGCGCAAATTTATCAGTTTCTTAAACTATCCAATCAGATACTATTTTGAAACTTTTATGGTTGCAATGATTATGCCAAACGTTGTTAATTTAGGAGAAATATTTACACTAATAGCTCATGGACAGCATCCAGCAACATTAATAATAGCTTTCATATTTACTCTTTTCAATGAAGTATTCATTTGTTATTCATTTATCCTTTTCCAATATTTAGGCAGTTTTTCAACTTTCGTCAATATTTCACCGCTCTTAAATTTTGATTCAGAATTTATCATCAAAGTCACATATTCAATTCGTATTTCACTGTTTTCATACTTTATTGTAAATTTATTTGAAAATTGGTCATATTTAGTTATAATTGTATTACATTTCGGCTTATTTTTACATACATTGATATTTTTAATCAAAGAAGTTACGTTTGAAAATCCATTTGTTAATGGATCTGGATTTGGATTATTCTTTGCTTGCTTAATTTGCGATATTGTTATGTTTGTATGCCATTTCAAACCAGAGATTCCTATTTTGATACCTCTTCTCCATAGTGTTTTTATATTTGGATCATGCGTTGTTGTAGGCACTATTTTCTTCATTCTCAGAATGAATTTCATCAAAAAGAAATTATCAGTCATCAAAGAAAATCAACAAGAGTATAACACTTATTTCGATGAACTTGGTTTAAGATATAATGAATCTAAAGTTTTGACATATCTTAGAGTATCATTCATAAAATGCTGTCCATGCTTCTACAACCTTTCTCTCATCAACTACATATCGGAATTTTATGAATCAGAGAAAGCAATTGCAATGTGCCTTTTCTTTGTCAATTTTTTCCCAAAAGAGTTTAGAATTCAGAGTAAACTAGAAAAGCAGATCATGAGAATGAGGGAAATAAGCTTAATGTCCCGATTTATTCTATACCAAGTTGAAAATTTAAAAACTCTTCGACAGTTTTCGGACAATTCACAGGCAAGAATCAAACTACTAGAGCTAAATAATATTTCCAGACAGTGCGAAATGATGAACATTAATGGTTTGGATGATTCAAAATTAGATAAAGGATATTTTGAAGGTTTAAGTTCAAAATGCGCAAGAACAAGAGCGGTTTGGAGGGAAGCATTGACATCAAACCCAAACAATCCTAAATTCTGCGAGGAATTTTGCAGATATTTAATTGAAGCAGAATGTGACTTCCCAGAAGCTTTGAAGATCAAAAACAGACAGCTAAATATCGAACTAGGAAAGAGTTATTCCGTTGATCACGGTTTTAGATCAATGGTTGCTGCATTTCCAAAATATTTAACGGAAGGAATTGTAGATTTTAACGGAAAGATAGTCAAAAACGATGTAACAGTTAGTAACCAGTCAGATCATTCCAATCCGAATGATAGTTCTAAGCCACAAAAATCAGATAAGAAATCTACAAGTTCAAGTAACGAATACAATGACTCTGAAGGTACATTAGATACAGAACTTGAAGAATATCTTGGAAAGAACTATTTGAAGCTCGCAAGAACAAGATTGGCTTTGCATCGACTTCTTGAGCATAAATTACCAAAAAGTGTCAGATTTATTAGATTGTTGTTTATTATTCTTGTTGCTTATATTGTCGTCATCTTTACTTTAACTTTTGTTTATTCTTTGATCAAATCTAACCATCAAATTTATAATATGCAACAGTTAGATTACATTTCCAAATCAAGATTCTATTCCGCATTATCCAGTATCTCTCTCATGGCTCATTACTTCAAAGTTCATGGTGCTTTCACGAAATATTTAGATGCATTACAAGTGATTGTGAATTCTACACCAGAATATGTTCCCAAAATCAACTTTTACAATAATACTTTGCGTCCTATTGTTAATTTCACTACAACAGCTTCTGAAATGTTTGCAGCTTTAGTTAACGCGATATCTGATGAAGCTTTGAACTGAGAAAAATTGAGTGAATACATTAAAATATTGATACAACCTGTGAGTGAAATGTATACTTACAGTATTGATTATTCAACATTTTCTTTATTGGGCCAGTTAACGAATGCTTCTCTTTCAAGTTTATATGCACAAATGTTTTCAGCACAAAGGTTATGGAGTGGAAGATCAGATGCAGAAATTTATTATTTGCAATATGATGTCGATGGAGCAGAGCTTGCAAATAATTTCTGGTTTGTTTATAGAGATAGTAATTATTTATTTTCCAATTTGAGTTTGGCGCAATTGAACAAAGCATCAAATTTGAAAAAGACATTCCGACATTTTGCTTACGTTTTTCCACCAATTACTTTTGTTATCTTATATCTTCCTCCTTTAATATTGCATTTCTTTATTTTACATTCAGAGAAAAAACTTCAATTGATCCTGAAAACTGTTGATATTAATTCAAAGAATGAAGCAAAAGAAACATTGATTTTGCAGAACAAAGATGATGGAATAAAATTCGCAGACAACACGAAAGAAACAGCAAAAAGAGCTGCTCTTTTAGTATTAAAGGGTTTCTGGGGATTTTGTTTCTTCTTCTTGATATTGGCAAGTTCTATGGTTTCAATCAAGATGACTGAAAATCTTTCGAAACTCAATTCTTGGAATAATTTCGCTTGTAGCAGATTATCTTTAAGCGTTGAGTCATTGAACACCATTTTAATTTGTATAGTAATACAAGACGTTCCTGGAACGTATCCTGAAATATACCATGATTATTTCTTAGACATTGCAAAGATAATTTTAGATAAATTGTATGAAATTGATGATAATTTGATATCAGGAACAGATGATTCAGAAGCATGCAAAGGTTTTGATGAAGTACTTGATAAATATAATATATATGAACCATATAAATACTATAAAAACGCAAGTTTGCATCAACAAATTGATATCTACAGAAGTTATGGAACAAAAATACTGGAAGACATGAAAAACAGATCAGAATTCGAGGTATCAGATGTTGTTAATCTTTTGTTCTTAACTGATTATATCATGTTTGATAGATTACTTACTGTTACAGAAAGATATTTCGAACTATGTTCTCTTGAATACACAAAAATGTGGCAAAATTTCGTGATCATTACGATTTTTGTTGTTTTGTGTTTGATTTCTTTCTTTGTTACTGATTTATATTACTATCACAATAGAGTATCATCATACAGAGGTGGCCTAAGCATTATTAAGAGAATCAATCCTTATACACTGTTAAATAACAAAGTTTTCAACCAAGTTTTCTTGAAAGAAAATGAAAGTGAAACTACAGAAAAATTGACAATCGAAGGATCGATTATCAAAGGTGCAAATGAAGCCATTTTCTGCACTAACATATATGGAATCGTAGAAGTTACTAACAACTCTGTGAGTTCTTTGTTAGGATATATACTCCTGAACAAATTTTAGGTCAAAATGTTACTTCATTTTTCAGCCATGAATACATCGAAGGAATCAACATGAAATTGGACCAAATGAGGAATCATCAGTCATCTTTGTTTTACGAAGATGATTATTCAGTAGTTACTGATGCTTCCAAGACAATTCCAGTCCATGTTTCAATTATTGGAATGAAATCAAGTTCTGACAATGTAAATTCTTTTGTTTTGATTGTCAGAAATCAAGAATTCTTAGTTCAACAGCAGAAACAAGCAGAAGAAGAGAAGAGAAAGAGCGAAACTTTATTGTATCAGATACTTCCAAGAGATATTGTTAATCAAATCAATCGCGGAGAAAAAGATATCAGCTTCCAAGTTCAAGCAGTATCAATCATTTTCATTGATATCAATAAATTCTCTGAATACGCAGCAAATTTGACACCAAAAGATATCATGTCGAACTTGAGCTACTATTTCAGTGTATTAGATAAAACAGCACTGAAATACAACATGCTCACAAAGATAAAACTTATTGGAGACATTTATATGGCAGCTGTTGGTTTATTTAACCAAGACTTGCCTGCAGATGAATTTGCCGACCAAGCAGTTTTGTTTTCATCTGATGTCCTGTCGCAATTGGAAGAAATCAATCGAAAATTGGATTCCAATTTATCCGTGAGAGTTGGAATAAACAGCGGCGGTCCAATAATCGCTGGCGTTTTGGGAACTGATAAACCTTTGTTCGATATAATCGGTGATGCTATTAATGTTGCAGCGAGATTGCAATCAACATGTGCTACAAACCATATTCATATTAGTGCTGCAACTCATGATTTAATTAAATCTAAGAATTATGAATTTACAGATTGCGGAGAGACGGAGTTGAAAGGTAAAGGAAAACAAAAGACATACAATGTTTCAATTCCTCAGCTTATTTACACTGCTACTAGCAGTATTGTTATGAAATAAAATTTATATTATTTGTGTTTTGATTAAATTCTGTCATTTTTAGTTAAGCAGGATCGGTGTAAATCAAAATTCATTTTCAGAACAATAATATGAGCAATTCAAATAAAATTGTCTTTATATGATTACGTATATGGCTTGAAAGAACGCAGCCATTCTCAACATTCATATCAGGAAACCCGTTTTCTATAATTTTGTTTTATTCTCACGTTCAATTTCCATCAATTATATTTCCAACAACAAATAAAATTTGGAACCAAAAATTATACTAAAAAGCTTAGCGACATCAATTTTATGAATTGATATTTGAATCCAAACCTAATTTTTTTATTTTGAGTGCAATAATATAAAATCTCGCATTCAAATTATAATTACTTACCATCAAGTATGAATAATAATTAAAGAAGAAAAACATGTATTTTTTATTTCTGATTCATTCAATTTTAGTGTTTCAAACGATAACCATTGAAAAAAAGAAACGACAGTTTTTGTAAATTCGATCGCTTAATTTCAAAATGACGTCATCTGTATCATCTGATATGCTTTTAGCAACTAATACAGAAGACACTGTAAAGAAAACTACATTCAAGACCAGCTTTTTAATCACTTTACCAGTCTTTATGGGCTATGCTTGCTGTTTTTCACTTCAACATCGTCTTTCATTTATTTTCGGGCTCACAGAGGGCGCTAGTGGTGATCCATTATCATATAAATACGGTGTCGCAGCATCATTAGTCTATGGTTTCAACTTAATTTTCAGAGTTCTTGGCCACAACATTGTTTTCGGTTGTCTTCCTCCAAAATGGCGTGTTACAGTTGCTCTTTGCTCTATGATTATCGGTATGTCATTGTTTGTTTTCCTTTCTTATCAGAAATATCCAAATATTGCCTGGGCTTACTTCCCATTTGCTTTTTGCGGTGTATGCGAAGGCTCATATGGACCAAATATGCTCAATGTCGTCAACGAACTTGGTGATACTCGTCTATACGTCGTTTTAGCAATGCCTGTTGGTGTTGCTTGCGTAACTATCCTTGGTTTTGCTTTAATGGGGTTCGGAATGCCATTCCAATGGTGCTACATTGCTACAGGTGTCTGCTTAATCCTTGGAATTATTATTTATCATCTTACCGTCTTCCCAGCTGCCAGCAAGCTTGGCAGCCATCAATCCAACTTTAGTCTTAGAGATTTCGGCCGCGATCTTCTTTGCATTGGCGATTGGTTCCCTAAAATTTGGTTCTGTTCCCTTGTTTTCTTATTGAACATGGTTTGTTTAGCACTTTTCAATCCAGGATGCACATTATACGTTTACGAATCACGCGTTACATTCCATTTGTTTGGTTTTACTGTCAACCACGATATCTTCATTTTACTTTACAATATCTGTTCATTTGTTGGAGATTTTGTGTCTCGTAAAGTAATGAACAAGAAGAGAATTATCAATCCAATTTGGTTCTTCTTTATGCTTTGTTTCGGCTTCGCATTGAATATTTCTTTGATTCCTGAAATTGTTCCTTTCGCGGCCTTCTGCTTCTCATGGGCAAATGGAGGTCTCTATGTTCAGTGCACAAAACTCATTGGTTTGCTTTTCGAAGAAAAATACCATTTAACAGCTACTTCAACATGGCTTTTCATTGGAGACGCTGGATCATTCTCTGGTGCAAACATCGTTCAACTTCTCCGTCCAGCAATTGGCGCTATCAAAAAGAGGATGTTCTAAACATCTGTATTTTTTTTTAACTTTCAACTCAAAGATATATTCTAATAAACTCTATATCTTTCTCTCCTTATACTCCATATCTTGTTTCGAATTTTTAATAAATTTGTTTATTTTCCCTAATTTCATTTAATTTTGTCATTGAATTCCTTTTTGTTTAGTTGTAAATTGCTGAATTACAAGAGTAAAAATGAAATTTATTGCAATGTTACAATATTTGAATTTAATCTCAATAAATTGACTACAAAATATCAAATTGCTTCATTTTGAACAATGTGAAATCAATATGTGAAGTTTGATATATTAATATTTTTTTTTTAACAAACAATATATTAATCAATTGTTTAGTCAGCATACTTCTTTTTGGTGAATACATACATATCTGGTAACTTGAAAACGCCGAATGTTGTAACGTTTGCAATAAATTGTCGGTAAACGTTAGTTGTTGTAGAAGAAGACAATAGGTTCCATGTACCCTTCTTAATAAGAGTTTGCTGATCAGTTGATGGAGTGTCAAGTTTACAAAGTATATAATTGTCTTTATAGATCTTAATTTGGCAAGGAACTGTACCAATAGTAATTGTTACATCAGATGCATTGTACTTGGAGTATCCAGATCCCATGATACCAACTAGATTTTGTCCATCAATTGGTCCGCGATCGGGGAATAACTGGGATACGCCAAATACTTCTGTAAGATTTCTATTTGCGCAAACTTGAGCAGCAGGTGGACATGTAACAGTGCCAGCATAGTTAGAAAAGCTAGCAGACTGACCATCATACTTGCAATAGTATTCTTCATCATCAACAACAAGTCTAACCTTGTTATCCGAACCACACCAAGCTTCATAGCATCTTGGTGTTGCAATTAGGTTACCTGTGATACCTTTATTTAATGTTGACAAAGCACAAGTTGAATTTGCATTGAAAGTTTCGCCATGTTTAGTGTAATCATATGTTGAATCATAATCAATCATTGTTTGCAAGCCAGAAGATCCATTTGTTCTGCAGCTGTACCATGGAAGAAGTAAAGGAGCGTAATCAAGTAAATCATCTTGACCAACCTCTGATTTATTTTCTGGATTATACCAACCTTCATGGCCCTCAAAATCTACTTCGCTGGTGGATTTCAATGAACAAGCCCCTGTAAAAGTATAATCGTAAAAACAAGCTTGTAAAGCAGTTGACTGACAAAGATATGTAGCAGGGAATGATTTTGTTGGTGGTTGTAAAAGAACCTTTTCTGTAACTTCGATCTTTGTATTAATGTAATCATTTAAATAAATTAATTCTTCGGTAACATTTGTAGATGGAGCATACCAACCAGTATCCCATAATGTATTGTAGAATATGCCACTAATCCAACCAGGACCATATGTTCTTCCTTGCATTAAATCAGTGAAAAATAAACGTTCATTTGGATGGGAACCAGCTGTACCAGATCCACCACCATCTTCGATTTCTAAACCAAGATGCATATACTGTGGAGATGATACATGGAATCTGTCATTGACAAATGCTAAAAGATGTGGAGTTTGTAGATATTTATGGGGAATTAAGTAACCTGTGTATGAGTTATAAGCTGATTCATTAATTTCCTTGCCATAGGCATCTGTATAATGAAGTGCAGTTACATTAGTAATCCATTTATTGAAAAGTGATGAAGAAAATGATAAAACATGATTGAGTTCATGCAAAACAGTCATGATGAATTGTCTATCACCTGATTGAAAGGTTTCGGGCTTATCAGGCAATTTTGCGGGGTTAACAACAATTTTTCCTTGAGATGGGCGCCCATTGACACCATTATAGGCTAATGATGATGCATATGCAAGACCAGAGGAACTTGATCCGAATGGCTGAGCGTAGACCGAAATTGTTAGGTCATATTCATCATTAGGATTGCGAGTAATGTTAATATTACTTTCTAAGAATTCTTTTACTGTATAGAAAGTTTCTTTAATTGTTGTTCTTTTAGCATCAGTAAGAATATCATTAGATGTACATGTGCCAGTAACAGAAGTGCATTGTGATGGATCAAGAGATGCATGATCAATGGAAGACATATCAAATTTGATTCTAATGGATTCATTTAAGCCTTCATCTGTTGAAACTTCCATTGTTTTTCTTTCGAGAGGCTCGGTAAGCTCCCTAAGGGTTTGCTTCTGAAAAATCTCATGTGAACATGTAAATACATGAGAACTCGAGAGTACAAGTTGAAAGACGAACATTAGAAGTAATTGAGAAGTTTTTGTGAATAAAAATTTTGAAAAGAGGAAACTTAATATTATTTTCTTGGATAGCACGCTTTATAAAATTCCAATACAATTACAAGAGGTAATAAAATTTTTTATCGCTACTCTTTCATTTTTTTCAACGTCTACTCTCAATTAATTCAAAAATTCGAGACTTTTTAAGCGATTATTGAATGTGGAAAAACCTTTGACAAAAATAATTGTAAGGTTCAACTAATTTCATTGCTAAAATTACAATAATAGTGGAATTAAATAATATTCATGAAATAAAATCATGAACTTTTTCATAAAAAAGTTTGATAATCACAGCTTTCATCTTTTAACTACTCAGGCCGGTACGGTGAACAACAGAAGTATGCATTAAGTTCAGAGCCATAATGTACATTGATCATTTGGAATCTTTGAACTTTGAAATATATGGAATTTCTTTAATTTTGTTATTTGATAGAAATTAATTCATAAAACAGTCAAAACTAAAGCATTTCATGATATATCTTATTCATTTACTAATAAAAATTAAAAATTACGATTCAAATAAATTTTATATTCTATTCACATATTTATAATTTTACAACAAACTATTAAAGATCACTTGTGATCTACTGGGATGATACGATATTCAGCTGGGATCGTTGAATTATGATTTGTATAAAATTTGGTTGGTTTTGGACATTTCATTGACAGAGTTGCTCCCCAAATTGGAGGCTTAGCAAATCCTTCTTGAATGAGATCATCTCCGCGATCAGCATCGCAATTTAATCTAATTCTGAAGCCATTTTCATATTCTTGCTCATAAGCAATAGGATCCTTCAAAAATTTATCACCTGGTCTGAAAATTGGCTTTGGATTTCCGATTGGATAATAATTTTTGCTTTCATATCTAAGACAATACCAAATATAGAATTCCATTGTATATCCAACATTGCCTAGATCTATATCCATCCTTTGAAGGGCAATTGGAGACCAATCAACATATAAAGAAGTGTTGGATTGATCATTCCATGTTGAAATATGAGATTTCCATGTTTTAATTGTATCCTGTGGTTGTATAAGATGGAATGAAAGTGTTCTTTCTGGAATATCATGAGAATAATCAATGTTTCTGTCTGGTGTATTTGAATTAAACATTCCAAAGGCACTTGATTCTCCAGTGCGATAATACCATTCTCTGAGACCGAATATACGTCCGTAGCAAGCTGATAATCTAATATCTGAGCCTAATTTCGAAGCTTGGTAAATTGAATTGCATTCCATAAGATGTGGCGCTATTTTGACCATGAACTGATGAGTAACGGCAATGCCTGGTCCACCGTGATGGAATGTTCTTGTAGGGTCTCTGCTCGGGAAAAATTTATAAGTTTCATCAATGAAGTAATATGTCATTCCGAATACATTTCCTGCTGCTGTTTTGCATAATTCAAGTACTTTTGTTGGAAGTACGTAACAATCATCATCGCAAAAGAAGTACCATTTCTTATTTGGATATAAATTATAAATATCATACATTGAAAGTATGTGTCTCGATTGTGCATGATTGTATGGATTTTCGAAGTAACTTCCAATTAGATAATCTCCTCTCATTTGAGTTATATGGAAAGTAATTGAGAGGTGAGGGTTTGAATTTGTGATATTATTCATAATAGATTCATCTGCTTCGTCTGTGTATACATGAACATGAGGTACTAATCCGTACCATGCCTGAGCTAATTGATAAACTCTTGTTGGAAGGCACTCTTTACCACTCCAGACAACAAATACTATATCATCCATAGTTACTGTTAGATCTGACGTGTATGAAAGAGCTTTGTAAATGAAAAATAATAAAAGCATTTAATTATAAGAATTTTGCAACAAATAAAATGATTGGCTTATGATCTTATATGTCATAAATTACTATAAAATCGAAAATATTTCATATAAAACTGGTTGCAATTCTAAAATCAAGAAATTGAAGATTTGAACATCTACATTTTCGAGCCAAAACTCATAGAATTTTCATATATTCAATGAGTGAATGATAGTTGCAGCTATATTATTAAGAATATGGAAAAATTTGATTTCAAATCCATGAAATATCGGATGAAAATCTAAGAATCTGAGTTAAATCCTAAGTTGTAAGTTGGTGGCTTCATTCTAAATGTATTAGTAAAAAATAATGGATTTGTATAAAAAAAATTAAAAGGAATATTAGTACTTAAAAAGTATTTTATTGCATTAAATATAAACCATTTAAATTATCGTATAGCTACCGAAAGGGAATTTAATAAGACTTTGTTGGGTTCATGATCTCCATGAAATCCTCGAGGGTGATGTAATCCTTACCCTCCTGAGCGAATTCAGCAATCATTTCCTTTATTGTCTTTGGATCAATGTTAAGTCCTGTAGTTCTGATGATGGATGTTAAGTCGCTTTCATCAATCTTTCTATCACCGTTAGCATCGAATAATGTGAAGGATTTCTTAACTTCATCCTTTGGATTTCTCTTGGCCATTAAATTAGCAACAGCCTTTGTGAAATTCTCCTTGTTTAATTCCTGTCCTTGTGGATCGTATTCCTCAAGGATAGCAATAACTTCTTGCTTTGGAAGATCGAATCCCATGCCCTTTAAAGCAACGCGAAGTTCATGGCGATCAATTGTGCCTGATTTATTAGTATCGAATTTCTCAAAGGCAGCATCGATCTCTTGCTGTTGAAGTGGTGTAAGATTTGGCTTCGAACTCTTGCGAGAACTTGATCTTCTTGATGACATATCTTAAACTGACCGTTACCCTACGATAGAGGATTGTAAGGAAACGCTTTTTTTGCGTTACATGTCAGCTAAATTCGTTTGATTTTTGTAAATTGAAAAGGCCTATAGATACACATAGTGAAAATTGCAAGGATATTCAATATTTCAGAATTTTTCTCAATATGAAATTCAATTTATGAATTTCAAGCTTGAAGAATGCATTGATATAGAAGTACATAATGACATGTCGAGACACAATAGCTACACAAACACTAATCAGTGCATTCTATTCTGATCCATATCTTTTCATGCTAAATTTCATATTGTCTTTAAATGAAAGCTTTATAGGCCTTAATTCTAACAATATCTTCATATATAATACTCTAATGAAAGATAATATTTTGCGATATACTCGGCATTTCACAGATTATATGGGCTGGATCAAATAACTTCTCCAAAAATGATCAGTTCATAGCGAAATGTTCAATAAGATAAAAACTTTAAAAGAAATATGAAATTTCTATCTAACAAAAGGAGCATGATTTGAACAAAGATAAAAATATAAAAGTATATACCATATGAATTAGGATGAAGCGATTCTGAATCCAGAAAACCTATCTTGACTTGCTGGAGATTGATAAAATTATAAAAAAATAAAAAAATGAACGAGGGGTTTCCTTTGAATCTTCCTCGCACTTCACAAAACGAGGAGGTTTATGCAAACTGCATCCGCAGCTATCTTGCTGAAATTAAAACTCTGAAATTCCAATTAGAGCAAGAAACATCTCGAAATGATGAATTGAAGCAAACGTTACTAGTTCAAAAACAAACAAAAAACAATTTATCAGCTCGAGTTTCATCTCTAGAGTCAGCAAATCGTAATTTGATTGCTCAAATTAACGAGTTACAAAAACAAACAATTGAATTTCAACAAGCATCGAATGATTTAGTAAAATACGAAGCTTTACTTAAAAAATACAAATTAGATAATTCAGATCTTAAAAGACATATTGATGATCTCACTCAAGAAAATAACGATTCAATCGAAAATAATAAAAGACTTGAGCAAAAGAATCAAGTTCTCAAACTCAAATTTGATGAGCTTAGAGAGTCTTATGATAAGCTTGAATCCCAAGTTTCTCGACAAAATCAGAAAATCGTCGAAAATCAACAAAGCTACGATGATATTACTAAGAAATATGTAGACAAAAAGCAAAAAGTAGAAAAACTAAAGAAAGATGCATCTAAATTAGACGATAAAATACAAGAACTTACAAATTCGAATTTACAACTTAAATCTCGCATTGAATCTCTTGAAACATCGAAGCATGATGATCAAATATTGCATGCAGAAGAAATTACAAACTTATCTAAAACAGTATTCAACAAAGATGAAGAGATTAAATCACTCAAAAATCAACTTCAAAAAATTGATGAACAAAAAATTGTTATTAATGATTTATCTGATCGTTTAAAGAAATCACAGCAAAGATCACAATCACTAACAGATGCTCTTAAACATTCCCAAGAACAACTGTCTACCATGCAACAATCATCTATTCGAGAAATGGATGAAATTAGAAGAGATCTTGAAAACAGAGAAGCAAAAAGTTTAAAGACAATAGAAAAACTTACAAACAGATTAAGTGATGCAGAAGGAAGGCTTCGAATTAGAGAAGCAGAATTAGAAGATTCAAGACAACAACTTGCTGATGCGAGATCTCAATTTACTGAAACACTTTCTTTGAGACATTCCACACATAAACAACAATTAAAGTATTTAGGTGAGAAACTTGAGAAAAGTCAAGGATTGTGCAAAGAATTAGCAACGCAACTTGGCGGATCTCCTACAAAAACAGAGTATAATGCTGCCTTAGATCGTGTTTCAGAATATCAATCAAGAATCGCTATTTTAGAAGAAAAAGTTGAGAACTTAGAAGAAGAAAATGATAATTTGAAGCGACGAAACAATGTTTTAGAAACAGAGAATCGCCAACTTCGAGAAAAAACAAATGATTATTTGTCAAGAGTCGAGAAAGCAGAAAAGAGACTTGATGAGATGAAATCAGCAAACAAGAAATTCCAAGCTAATGAGCGAAGGGCATCCGATCTTCTTTCACAAACATTAGGATTAATGGAGAGGAAACAGAAAGAACTTCAAGAGACTAAAAGAGAACTTAAGAATTTGAAGGCAAGTACAGAATATAGTTTGGCATCATCACGATCTAGTAATTATGATGTTCGCAAAGAAAACGAAGAACAAATCCGATCATTACGAATAGAAAATCATGAATTAAAACAACAAATCAAAGATTTCCAAGATCAAAAATCATTCATTGATGAATTAAAATCTAAGTTAGGTTCATTTTCATCTGACATCAACTTATCTTCAGATTAATGATATATATTTTATAATTGTTCCTAAAATCATTTGTGTATTCTTCATAATTTTTTCTTATATTTTAAAATATGCACATTGAAAACAAAATACATATTGATGCTTTATGCTTTACTTTGTTTATATTATATTAAGATATTGAAAACTCTCACATATACTCAATAAAATATCTCTTTGTTTATTCAGAATTTGATTAAAATATTGAAGCTCAATCGAATAAAAAGTACATGAATTTAGCATACAATATGAGACTTTATATCGTCCACAACTTATTTCTGGCACTTATAGATGATTCAATTTCCAATTTTGCTAAACCTCGGTACTTATAGATTCTAAGAGATATTTTTGGCCAAGCATCCGGAAATGGTCTGAGGCGAATCCTTTGTCTATGGCTTATAAATAGATCCATAAAAAAATCTTATACTTTTTCAATCCGTGAATTTAATTTTCAGAGGTTTTCAAAACAATTAATTTCGAAATTTATAATATTTAAGCAAAGTATTCATTGATTATGATCAAAATTTCAATTTTTAATATTTTTAAGATATTTTGTAAAGTTACGACTTTTGATATTTTGTAGATATTTTGTAAATTTACGACTTTTGATAAATGAGTCAATGTATTACTCCGAATTTCGAATACATTGGTTCTCATATCAATGATTATATTCAAAATGATAATTTCTTTGATATATTCGATCTCGAATGCAGCAATACAATCATGAAACATGCAAAATTAACAACAACTCAGTTCATCTCTCTTCTCAAACAATCTACATCAACTCTTAAGGCTAGTAAATTATACAGATATATACGTAATGCGAATGTTACTATCCAAAGCATTGACGAGGTCTTTTCAGTTCTTAAATCAGTCAAAACATACATGAAAATGAAAATATTTGATGGAATCATTGATTTTTTAAAGTTAAATGGAACGGAAATGCGTAATTCTTCCGAAGAAATCGAAGAACCTCAAGAACAAGTTCAAATTTTGAATAATACAGAGAATCAAGCACAAGAAGACAGCAAACTCTCTCAAAATCTTTTAACTAAAATCTCATCACTTAAGAAATATAATTGTTTTTATAATGTTTACAAATTCTTTGAAGAACTTTGTCCAGAAGGTGATCAAGAAATCATTTCAAAATCATGTGAAGAAGGACTTTTGGAAAAGACAACAAAAGATGGAAAGAATGTACTTCATGTTGCATGTCAAAAAGGAAATCTCAAACTTGTTAAATCTCTCATGGAAGCTGGCTGTGATAAAGAAGCAAAGGATAAGTATGGATATACTCCACTCATTTTGGCATCGAGAGAAGGTCAGCTTGAAGTTGTTCAATATCTTATCTCAGCTGGAGCATTCAAAGAAGCAAAGAATAATGATGGATTTACTCCACTCAATTATGCCTCACAACGTCTTCATTTTGAAGTAGTTAAATATCTTATCTCAGTTGGAGCTAACAAAGAAACAAAGGATATTTATGGATATTCTCCACTCATTCGGGCTTCAATAAATGGTAATCTTGAACTTGTTCAATATCTTATCTCAGTCGGAGCTGATAAAGAAGCAAAGGATAATGATGGATATACTCCACTCATTGAAGCATCAAAATATGGTCGTCTTGAAGTTGTTAAATATCTTATATCAGCTGGAGCTAATAAAGAGGCAATGGATAATGGTGGAAATACAGTTCTTTCATTTGTAGAGAACATAAATGTAAGAGATTATTTGATTTCTATTGGAGCCAAGTAATCTAATTAGATAATTAATAAATATATGACAGTGCTACTCATATCACAGAATACTTTTATAAGAATGTCTTGAAATTGAAGTAAAAACAAATTTCTAATTTATTTTTTATTTTTAGAAAACATTACTAGATAAAAAAGATGGACATATGAAAATGGATCAAAGACAGCTTTTGTTTTCTGTTTATAGTATTTAATAAGTATTTGTGGTGTTAAACATATGAAGAAGTCATTTTCGAAATGAGATGTATCCATTTCTGACATAAATATTGCACCTCTTCCATATATGAATGTTGCATCTGAATCAGAATTTGTTCGGAAGACATAAATATATGCTTCATAACCAGAACAAATATACACTCCATTACCGTTATGACAATTGTTCTGAAATATGCAATCTTCGATATCGAGTATATAGAAAGAAGCACCCCAAAGATAAATTATTACATAAATATTATTTGTTTGAGTATTATTTATGATATTAGATTTTATTAGTTTTGCACTTAATGAATTATAACAAATTGTGGCGTGATCTAATGCTTGACACGAATCAATGTGACAACAACTAACATTTTCTTCATTTTGAATATTTTTGCAATTAATGGCTGAACCTATATTTGATTGACACTTTGAAAAATTCACTGCTTTAATATTTATTTGTCCATTATATTGATATAATGAACCATCATCACTATTATCGTAGGACGTAATAGAACCTTCAGTAACCGTTCTATTCACATTTTCACAATATATGAACCTATTATATGAGTTATTAAAAGAATAAAAATGGTTACAAACAAGATGAGAATACCCTGTAATATATATGGTACCCTTACCATCAGAGAAATCATTTTGTTCTGATAATATGTAATAACTATCTCTATTTTTGAAGTAAATTGCATAGTATGGCAAATTTTTAAAAATTGATTTATAAACAAATGCGTTGTCAGAATCAGAAATGGTAGGATTTGTTTTAGTAATAGGTATTGGGCTTTTGACACTAAAATATCGTCCCCAAAATTGTTGATAATTTTCGTACAAATTATTTTTAGACTTATTTTATTTAATTTTATGTTATTAGTTGCAGTTATCAACTCGTATTATCATTTTGTATTAATTAGAACTGTTATACCAGACTCATTTGAATGGAAATTGAAAATTTTTGTTCCATAAAAAATAAGTTACCCGATTTTTCAATTATTGATATATTTACATGGTGAGATTACGTCAGTTGATTGTTTGATAATTTCAATTCTTTTTTACATGTAGAATATAGATACCATATGGAAAATATAAAATTTTCATGTAAAAAAGATTCGGAATAACATCAATTTATCTTAATTAAGTTAAATTATTGATGTAAACTAGTATTTGATTTGTTAATTTATATTCTAAAGTTCTAAGCTATCTTTTCAATCGATTTCAGAAGTGGAATTTATTTCTAACGTTATAATGCAGAAGTTTTAAGAAATATAAATTTAAGAAATGGGATGACAAAAAGATGATTTATACAGCAATTTCGGGACAGAAGTCCTGGAATTGGTTGTATTTAGCCCTGAACTGTGAGTATTCAACGTAAGGAGATCCTTCAAAGCCTGGCATGATGAGATCATTGCCATTCAGTGAAATCTTGATGTACTTATTCTGGCTGTTATCTTCCCAGAATGTGATAGCGACATGTGAAGCGTATGGAGTGACATCTTCCTGAGGAACGCCGAGATAAGTAAGGAATGCAGCAAGTGTTGTATCATGTGCACTCTGTAATGCAAATTTCTTACCACTCTTCATGCCATCTTCTGCAACTTTAAGGATGTGTCTGTAAATTGGGGCTCCTGCAACAGAATGATTAGAAAGATATGCGAATAATCCCCATTGTGAGTATCTGTTCTCCTTCCTGCATGCATTCATGAACTTGTCATCCATAAATACAGGAACTTGCGATCCAACACTGCAGTTGAATGCAACGGCCCAGCCACAAATCAAATGGACACCATCAACTGTTGGTTCCATGACGTGGAAGTACTGTTGTGTGGCATCTTTGATGTCTGGCCAAATTCCGGTGACCAAATTCTTGTAATCGTCGGATGCGAGGAAAGCATCACGCTCTACTTTCATTTGCTCACAGTTCGTTTCACTTGGATTCAATGGAGCGGCTGCAGCTGTGCCGGAAATAATTGTAAGGACTTCATTGTCGGAAAGAGGTGGATAAAGACCATCGATGAATGACTCGGCACTGCGGAATGTTCGTTCAATGGGAGATGTGTAAAAATCGAAGAGAGCTGGATCCATTTTCTGTGGTAAAAAGTGTTTTTCATCAACAAGGAATTTCCTGTATGCTGCACCAAGATCAATATGCATCTGTTGACCAACTATTGTCAAATCACCGGCACGGCAGCTTGGCGGGTAATCAATCATTTCTGGATCGAGAATTTGATCATAATATCTATAAAATTTTGATGGACCTCCTTCAGAACGTGGTGCTGGAGCGTTCGCATCATCACATTCCCAATGTCCACGAGCACTCATTGGTAATTGTGGTTTTTCTGGCGTTCTGTGGCCGTGTCTAATAAGAACAGAGACATGAAGTAGCTTTTTATCATCTGGGAAGCTGAATGATTTTCTAGGCGCTTGACAGTACTTACCCAGGTCAGAAAAAGCTAGTGAATTCAGAAAGAACAGCATTGAAATTTTTTGTCACTTTTTGATCAAAATCGGATTTGAAAAAATATTCGCTACCACGCTGATTTCACTAGTCTATACCTAAATATGACTTTTTGTTTATCTTGGTATCCATTTGAATTGATTTGTCTTGATTGAATTGCAAAAATTGCTCTAATGCCTGGAATGCATTCAACATTCAGAGTACCATTACATTGATGTTTAAATAATATATCCAAAATTCATGTTCGCTCTAGTTAAACCGATAAATATATTTTAACTAGTTCACAAGACATCAGAAATGAGATGCATCCCTCTTATGATATTCAAATAGTTAGAGACTCTACAATTTTCCTCATTGAACACAGTTATTCTATGATATAAAGGTCTTGAAGGGTTCCTGAGCTCAGTCAAAGCAAAAGTTGGATACTTTCTGCAAACAGCAGATATGATGAGCACGTTTCAATTTAATGGAAGTTCTGGTTCCAAACTATTAGATTAATCTAATCGAGTAAGCAAATGCCAGCAAGACAGCTTTCTTAATCAATCCACACCTTGCATTGTTGCATGACCTAGTAAAATTCCTCCTAAGGAACATGCCAAGGACTATTATCACTAATCTCAAGGAAACAAAAATTTTATCAGCATTTTCCCTAAGGATGTAGTGTCTCCATAATTACATTAACATATTTATTGGAGTGTTATTATACTAACATCTACTATTACTGTATATATTGAGTACTATTCAACAATTATAGTATTTGAAGCATATAAAAACACGAAATCTATAAAAATACACACATTTATTCATATAATTATGCTATAAATTAATATCTTTTCCTTGAACTGCAACAATTACACCGAATTTTTCAATTCTACAGAAGGCAATTCCACCACAAGTATTAATAACAACAGCTTCATCAGGTATTTTAACTTTATCTCCAGGGAGAACTCTGAATTTCTGAGAATCATAGACAGTTCCATCAGGATCGCATTTCTTAAGCATGTTCTTCTGCACAGACACTGTCTTATTATCTTCTGTCAATATAATAACGCCATTTCCGGAGACAAAAGTGACAATTGCTTTTTTGTTTTCGAAAATCGCGAGATCATTAATTTCGAAATCAGTACTTATATCTCCACTGAATAATGGAGCCAAATCAGCTGGATTTCTGTAAACAATCTGGTTCGGAATCTTAATAATTTGATGATTTTTTGTAGCTTCAAGAATTTCGCATACAATGTCTTGAATATTAGACACATGGACTGCATCATTGACATCGAACTTCTTTGTGAACAATTTCTCGTAATTAGCCAAAGTTTCTTGAATTAATTTGTAAATCGTGTTGAAAGTTCGTTTCTGAGCAATGAAATATGATTCATGATGCTTAGAAATGAGATCTAACTTAGGAAGAAGTAATTTTGATAAAGTTTCGCTATCATGAATATGAAATTCTCCAATAACAGAAACAATGATTTCTTTGATCTGTGTTTTGGATATATCATTGCATGAGTTGATTTCTTTGACGGATTTCTGGAATTGATCTTGTAATAATTTTGTAATTGAGTTTTTGATGTCAAAGAGAGCAGTTTGGTACTGATTAACAAGAAATTCAGGAGATGTTTGGGTGGAAATCGACTCCTTTGGAACAATTTCGGTTTTGACCTCCGAAATCTTGTTGGAATTTTCAGAAGATTTGGAACCCGACTTTGACTTTGACTTGACAACATAGTCAGAGCTGTCTTGGCCGGTTTCTGAATCAGATGAACTTGATAATGAAAATTTGGCCTCTTGATCCAATTTATTATTGAGTTTATCGATGAGTTCCAGCAATCTCTGCTGTTTCTCTGTTTCATTCTTAAGATGCTTTTCGATATCTGAAATTAATTTTTCTTTTTTAGTTGATTGATCATCTGTTTGTTTATCAGTTGCTGTCTTCTTCAGTCTATTCAAATCCTTCATTATATCTTTGGAAGTTGTTAAGCAGGACTGGCAAATCCTAAGAGCTCGCTCAAGATCTTCGTTTTCAAGCTGGTCGACCTGTCCTTCGTAGTGAAATACTGAAGTACCGAATCTTTTGTTTAGTATTTTGTTATTTAGCTCCTTTTCTAAAAGAGCAAATTCATCTTTAGGTTTCGGACGTGGTCTTGGCTTTTGAGCCGGCTTAACCGGTTGTTTAACAACACTTGGCTTTGGTTTAGCAACTTTAACAGGCAATGCTTTGATCTTTGGAAAGAATTTAATTAATGCACCTGAAAATAGTGAAAAGCACTCATTGACTTCGATACGAGTAGCTGTCTCATCTAACAATGAGTCCATCTGTTCAGTGGTAATTGAAGAACTCCATGTTTTTAGTATTCTTAAGTCGATTTGTTGAATTTGAAATTCTCCAATGAATGTGGCTCCTTTGTATAGCACCCCTTTTGTGGAATCTCCTGAAAATGATGTTTTGACTATAATATCTTTTAATTTCGGCTTGGTTTCTGAAGAAATAATTTCGGAAAGTTGTTTTGAGGTAAATTCTTTGCTATTGAAATCTGTATTAACTAATGAGCGATTCTTTATAATTGCTTTTCCGCGAATTAAGTCTATATCTATAATTTGTGCTGGTTCATCAATAAAAGGAGGGCAAGTGAATGAACCAAATAGTTGGTCTTTGTATGTGATAGTGTGGAATCTGAAATAATTGCAAAAATTCTTAATAATTTCAATAGGTGCAGGGATTTTGTATATTAAATCGGAAAAATACTTGTCTAATGAGAAAAATGTTTCTGTTTCTACATATAAATAGTCTGGATCACTTGGTACATTGAATATTGATAGTATTTTCTCTAATTTTGAAATCTCTTTGATGTAATGCTCCATATACGCAAAGGCATTGTTGCGACCAACATACACTTTGAAGTATTTTGATTTTCTTAATAACATTTCTAGTGTTATTGAGGTTGGATTATCCCTTCCAATTTTTGGATCAGCTGTACAGATGAATGCTTGGAGGAGTTTTTCTGCATCACCGTTATTAATATCAGAATCATTCAAATTATGATAGAAATCAGACATATCAACCATGTCTCCTGTGCATTGCATTTATCTGCAATGCTAAATTATGGATAAAAACAATCAAATTTATCAAAATCTCTATTATTTATCTATTGTTAGTATATATCTTTTGGTTTGCGTTTGATTTTTCTTTTAACTTTTGACAATTTGATATGTAAAGTGTCAAAATTGCAGAAATATTGTCAAAAATATATCTTTAACTTCAGCTAATTAATGAAATCATAGTTCATTGCTATAGATAAGAAGAATTAATTTAAAAATGTTGAAATAAAATCCTTTTTTAAAAGTTTTTCACACAATAAAATAAAACAATAAAAAATTTTTTCTTTCATTCATCTGAATCAGAGAATTGGAATTGATTCCTATTGTAAACAGGAATCTTAGAAGGTGAAGGACCTTTGTTTCCATTCTTCACTATTTCTCTGATGTGTGGTGGAGGAGGAACATCGATATCATCATCACTTGAGTCATTGATTTCGAGTTTCTTTGGCTTTACAGGTTGTTTCTTTTGGGGAGAAGGTTTCTTGAATGGATTCTCGTGCATTGGAGGTGGTCTCATCTTATTTGGCTTTGGCTTCGGTTGCATGAGAGGCTTAACTTCAGCTGGTGGAGATGGTGGAGATTGGTTATAATCATCGCTGTCAGAAAACTGGAATTTCTTCTTTTGTATTTTTGGAACTTCGACAGGAGGAGGAGAAATTGGTGGAGCTGGATTCTTCATCTTCAAAGGTGAAGGAGGAAGTGGAATTTCTTCTTCCTCTTCTTCTTCAGTTTCGGATTCTGACTCAACTCGAATCCTGTTGATTTCTACTTGTGGTGTTCCAATGGAAAGCTTTTTAACTGGCTTTGGTTTCGGTTTTTCTGGTGCCGATGAACTTTCTGACAATTTTAGACTTGCCTTCGACGGTTTGGACGGTTTTGACTTTTTGACAGGCATTGGTGGTTCCTCATCATCATCTTCGATTGATTTACGAACGAATTTCGGAGCCTTTTCACTTGGATCCACGTAATTATCATCGTAATCATCAGAACTGTCAGAAATTTCAGCATCAATTGGAAGAATTCTTTGTAATTCTTTCTTTGAGATTCTTCTTGTCTTAATTTCGAAATCATCTTCACTGTCATCATCAACTCTTCTCTTGATGTTCTTGTAATCTTCGTCATCATCATTATCTTTGATTTGTTTCTTCTTCAAAGGTGGAGCTTTCTTCTTTGGTTTCTTCTCTTCTTCATCTTCATGTTTCTCCGCTTCTTCTTCATTGAACAAGAAAATAGCCCTTTCTTTGGTTGCGACCACTTCACTTTGTTTCACTTCACTTTCTTTTTGTTTCTGTTCATTTTCTGAGGAGTTTTCATTAGCAAACAAAGTATTGAAGTCAGGATTCATTGTTGTGAATGGAATTCCTTTGTAGTTATCTTTGTCTTCTTCGACATATTTCTCCAAAGAAGGAGTTTCGTAAACTTTGATTTTTTCTGTGTTTTGAAGTAACAAAACATTTTCTGGCTCTGAGAGATGTTCTGCTTGGAAAGGAAGAGGGACATGCATCTCCTCGCAAGCCATGTAATGAATCATGAGTTTTCTTCCACGTACATGTCTTGTTTCGTCTCTTGTGATTTCTTGGATTAAATCTTGGACATCTTCGTTAGCTTCGAATGGAAGTTCTGATGGCATTTTAAGTGCAAGTCTATGGCAGTTGATATGTGTTCCAGCTTCAACTTGTTGGTTGGAAATTTGAGATATCAACATTTTTTGGTCTTTTTGCTTCTTTGAATCAACGAATTGTTTAGCATCAAGGACAGGATAGCTAAAACTAATAACGCTTTCGTTTTCCTTGATACTTGTAATAAGTTGGTCCATCTGTTCAAACTGGTTTATTTGGTTGCCATCCATCTTCAATGACTTCAGGTTCTTGCACTGAGAAACAATTGCGGAAAGAAGAGGAATTATTTCGTTCTTACCGCAGTTTCCAGAGATATCTAAGGATTCTAGTTGTTGGCATTGACTTGCCGCTTGAAGAAGTGGCAATAATTCATGACCAAGCTTCTTTTCGTTCGTACCTTCTATCGTTAATTTCTTGAGATGACCGTTCAAAAAGAATCTTCCAAGTAATTCACCGACACCTTTCATTTTTTCGGTGAAATTGTTACTGAGGGAGATTGCTTCGAGGTTATGCATCTTCTTAACTAAAGCTTGCAAAGGTTCAACATCGTCAAATGTCATATTATTTCCGTTCAAGGAAATTTCAATCCACTTTTCACGCCTTGAAGAAAGGAATGCGCGCAAAATAGGAAGCAATCCATCACTACTGATAGCCATCCTATCCATAATTATCCTAAACTTAGTGATATTGACATTTTCAGAAATTGTTTGGATAATTGTTGCCAAATTCGACTTAGTCAAGTTAGTTCCTGAAATATCAAGTTTTTCTATGGTGTTAAATGTTCTCAAAGCAAAGCAAATGACTTCAAATGCCGAAGGAGTGATATTATTATCGTTCAAAAGCAAAGTTTTGAGCTGGGTCTTGTAAGAACAGAATGCTCTGAGTGTAGCATCCATGCCTGGACCACATTTTGAAAGATCCAAAGTTTGTAATTCCAATCTTGAATCTTTGTTTGCGTTTTCCAAGAAAGTAGTGATATTCTTCTGGACTGTTTGGTCCTGGAATGGGAATCCCTGCAAGAAAAGATGCCTTACACCATAGAAATTGTCATTTCTTGCCATAACTTCGAAAATTGATGCAGCAACTTTTGGAGGAATGTTCATTCTGGACAAATTGAGGAGGAAAACAGGACTCTGGTTGTAAGAAAGAATTTCTGGGAAGGCTTGGATATCATGAATTTGGTTGTTTCCAGAAAGATCCCAATAATTTACGTTAAAATCGGAATTGCTTCTTGCATTTCTGGAAAGGTTTGTAAAACCAGAATTGATACCACAATTGTTGAAATGTACAATGCGGAAATTAGTTCCGAGCTTAATAAATTCAGTCATTAAGTCAATAAGGTTTGGCTTCTTCGTATCTGAGCAGCAGATACCGGATAAGAAGTTCATTTCTCCTAGAGTAGTAAACATAGGCTTGATGATGCTTGATTGTTCTTGTGGCTTTGAATAATCAATAGGAAGTTGAGCGATATCGATAATAGTGTTCTGGCTGAGAAGCATTGTATGTACATATCTCACTACTTGGTGATTATAAGGTACACCGAGCTTTACACAAGCAGCAAGATACGTAAGCTGGAATTGCTGTGAAGGAGAGAGAGGAAGGTCTAAACGAGGGAATAGCGATATGTCTGGGCATTTCAAAGTGAGTAAATTCTTATCCATTAATGCAGAAAAAGATAATTGATAGTTACGATAAAGTAATTGTGCAAATTTCAAGCCTTGTGTTGCATAGAAGATGATGTTCTGTGTGTTTGATTGAACCAAAACATACTTTTCTTCTGTATATCCTAGTAAAGTAACATCACCTATGAAAATTGAACAATAAAGCTTAAATGCATCACCTTTCTTACGTTGTTGGTACAGATTGATGAAGTGCGGTGAAAGCGCTACGGCAGTATTAGCTATTAATTTAGCATTCCAACGAATTTGAGATCTGAAAAGAAGATGCAACGGAATTTCGATTTCTGGAAGAGATGATGTTATATCATGTGTCTCCTTATCACTAAATGTATTATCTTCAACTAACGGATCAAATCCATATAAACTCATTACACTAAAAATTTTTTTTTGTTTTTGTAAAATGCAAACAATGAATTACTTTTCATCTCAACCAAATTATTACAATGTAATAACAGAGATAAAGAATAATGCAGAGTCAAAGCGTATCCCTTCATATGAATATAAAACTACACTCCAAAGAGCTTTATTAAAAAAGTCTCCACAAAATGATACTCAATTACAAAGCCAAAAATCAATTGAAGAAGCTTTGAAGAACTCAAGGATGGGAAGAGATGCTACTTTACCAGATTCCAAGCAAATTTATGAAGATTTCTTAAATCTTGTCAAAGATAGATTATCACCTGAACAGCATCCGATCTTCATTCGCTATCTTTCAGTCTATATGAGTGGATGCATCCCACATAAATTATTTATTAGGCTGTTTTATCAATTGATTGGAAAAGTACCTCTTGATGACCCAATTATGCTCAATTTCCCGTCATTTCTTGCTTCTGTCAGTTTCAACACTTTTACAACAATCCGTGAAAATTACACAAAGCCAGAAGATGAAGCTTGTGCTGAAATCGTCATCATAACAACAGTAAATGCATCAACTCCAGAAGAATACCACTCAATTTACAAAGCATTCAAACTGCTTTCTGAGGGCTATATTTCTACGAAAATTGCTAAAAATTTGCTCTCAAAATATTGTCCGGAAGAAACTCTCAATAAATTAGACACAATTGAGAATTTCGCTATCTTTAATCCAGACAGAATTCCTCACGAATACATTCTATGCTCAGACTTTACAAATCCTCTAAATGAAAAAGATGCAATCACAAAGTTCGAAACTAACCCAGCCAAGAGCAGAATTTCGTCATTATACGAGTCTACACCTTTCGAAACTATCGAAAATCAGCTCCAATCTACAAAGAAATTAATAGAAATGTTCATTTTAAAGGAAATCCCAACACAAGAGAGATTAATTCCATTTTTCGGTATCAAAAGTGGTGAAGTACTCGAGCAATTTCCTAAATTCAACCAATTGGCCATCAAACGCCTCATTCAAGTTTATCAAAAATTTTTCGACAACTACAAAGAGTTTTCATACCATAGACTCAACCGTTTAACAAATAACTACCTGGAATATCGCATTACTTACAAGAAAGTCCTGAAAATTCTTTATGATCCAGTTCATATGAAAATTCCTGGAGTTCACACTATCCATCTAGGAAATACCGAACAGATAGCGAAAGCTCATCATTTAATTGATGATTTCATTTACAAAATCTTTGCCGGAGATGAAAAATTGAAGAATAATTTTGAGCTTGTTAAAAATGTCCTATTCAATGGAAAGCCACTTGAAGGCAATGATGCACTCATTTCTTACTGTTTGGCACTTTCGGAACTGATCAAAACTATAGATGGCTTTGATACAACCGAAATTACAAACGCAATCAAGACAGAAGATGGCTTACTTAAGTTATATTCGTCATCTGAGATGAGATGCGTTGATTTGATCTTAATCAAAGCAGTTCGCGCGATTAATAAAATTTCCGAAATTTCTGAGTTCGGAATTGAGTCAATCAAACCAAAACAGATATATCTAACATGTATACAGGTGAATGGTAAGGATGCCACCGTTGAAACTCAGATAACTCCACTCCAAATTCAACCAGCTGAGAAATAATTTAATTTGTATTATTGTTCTTCATTATTGATATTTTATAAATAATTTACTTTTCTTACATCTCAAAATTTTTAAAACAATCACTTAATTCTTTAGATATTTTTGATATGATAATAAATTTTTGGGAGATAGCTATGCATAACATATATATAAACTTATTTAAGACTTCTAAGATATATTTAAAGCACTCTGAACCTTTTCCTCGTTGACATTGATGGAAAATTTAACCATAACTTTTGAATAGTTTACATAAGTGTGATTTTTACTAATGACTTTTTATATAAGGGTTTCGTTTTGCTAAAATTGTCACTTTTATAGCATATTTGTTTTTGGATGTTTTGCGAAACCAAAAAAAAAAAACTATGATATACAATGTGTGTGTAAAGAAAATACTTTATTTACTAGTTAAAAAATCATTTGGTATTGATCAAGTTATTTTTTCTGGATAAGATATTATATGGATAATTGGATAGAAAATACAATTATATAATCTTGTACCTGGTTTAATTAAGCTAATTGTCATCAGAAACTTGTAATTTTTATGAATTTCAGATTTTCTTTTCATTACTGCTTTTCTTAATAGGTCAAGTTCTTATTTACGTTATAAAGTATGATATTTACAAATATCAAGTTATCATGTTTTTTGAGAAATTATGAGAAACAAACAAAAATGAAAAAGATAGGAATAGCAATGAATAGTGATGTGGGTATAGAAAATGTAAGAGATATGAATGCAAAGCAATCAGTATTTAGGACATTGACCATAGATTTCGAAAAAAAAATGCTGCATATTGAGCGAAAACTATGATTATATTATAAGGCTGTCATTTAAAGCATAATGAAACTATTCCCTTTTCATTTTAATCGAATAAGATAGTAAAGATTTTTGAATTAGCTAGAAACTGATGAGATGTTTTCACAAATCAGATTTTTAATCTCTATAATGCATAATTCACTCAATATCTCAATTTTGATATTGCGAGATATTTTTGCTATCGGTTTCGCAATTTTGACACAATAGCAAGAGGGTTCTATAAGCATTATTATCAACGTAGAATCTGAATATCATATCAGAAAATGTCGCAAATCTGACATTTATCCGACCAAATAGCAAAAATAATTGAATACTTTTCGCAAAAACTTTAAAAATCACTAAAAATATGAAATATAGATATTAAAGAGACTTTTTATATAATCTTCATAAAGATTTTCCAAAAATATGATACCGCAAAATTAAAAAAGTGACGTCTTGAGTGGAGTCAAAGGTCGAAATTGCTAGCTAAATGTTTTTTAGCGAAATTGCGTATTGTACGTTTTTTTCGCAAAACGAAACCCTTATTTTATAGAAATGAGGTAAGTGTAGAGATAGATAAAATAGAAGAATTGAAATATAATCGAAAACCGCCAATTAAAAAATTTTGGTAATGACATCTTGGGATTCAGTACAATTTGATAGCTTTTTAGAGGATGAGGGTGAAATATTAATGTCGGAAGCATCTGTTTGGCGCAGCACGGGTGAAATTGAGATAAAGTTATCTAATAAATATATTGGTACTGTTTCACCTTTAATCAGCAGTACAAATGAAGGACAAGTCGGTGATCAAACTGCTGAAGGTTTATATGGCATTCAATTCAATCGAATTGCTGATACCCAATTTTGGAATTTTAATTACATACCTTCCCCAACAAATACTTCAATTTATCAACAACTCCGGAATCTTAATTTAGATAGATGCCAACTTTTTGTATATTACAATACTTCTGACCCAAATAATCCACCATATATTCAACTTTTCACACCTCGCGTAATCCAATCAGAGGTGATTGATGAAAATGGATTACTCATTTTAAGCTCTTGGGAGCCACAAAATGACATTAATCTTGCTATAACATGCATTTTGGAACAATTTTTCAAATCAAACCCAACAATCGATTACAATAATCTTACCCCTTACCCATTAAATGAAAACAGCCCGTTCAATCAATTCATTACAGTCGTTCAATAATTATATTTGACCTTTTTTTTATTCTGCTGTATTTTTTTGTTCAATTTGTTTGTTTGTTTTTTATGTCCGCTTTTTTAATTTTGTTTTTATTTTTAAAATGATTTTTTTAAGGGTGAACCCGCATGTACGTTTATTTGAGAGGAGGATTACCCTCTCAATTTTTAAAGCTTCGTTCACTTAATATCTCGATGAATATTGGATTAAAATTGAATTTGCCCATACCAATATATCTGATACAATATCCTTAAGTTTTACTAAAAAGAATTTTTTAAAATCCCTGCAGATTCGGGGATTTTTAAATTTTTTGATTTTTTTCGAAAATTTTTCGGAAAAAAAATATTTTCAGAAGAGCCTTAACGGCTAAGTTTTATGTTTAATGTTGAGTATCAAAAAGAATGGGCATCTGATATAGCCATCATATATCCCAGATGCAAATAAAAATTCTGACTTTTTAAGCATAAAAAATGAAATTTTATTTTTTGCAAAAAACAGGCCACCCAGATGTACGTTTATTTGAGAAGAGGAGGATTAAATTTTTGAAAGCACTAAAATTTGTAAATATGCTAGTTATATAATAATATGCATTATTTTTAAAAATAAAAATTAAAGCACGTTAAAATCTTTTTTGATGAATTTTTACAAAAGCTACTCAGGATAATGCAAGATATGAGTAGTTAAACATAAATTTCAAATCAGATTTTACTTATAATAAATATTTTAAATTTCCGAAAATTAAGTTCAGATCGACTCTATACGTAGTAAATACTAAATAAGGTGCCAAAAACCTATTAAACAGTATCAAAACTATCAAGATTGTAATGTTTTTGAAGAAAAATTTATAGAATTATGGACTTCAAACAGATATTATGTAAATAAAAATAATATAATGAATTTATTTATTCGTATAATAGCAGTAATAAGTCGATTATTCACTTCTACTTCTGAGATTTGAATTTAATTTCGACAGAAAAAGAGATTCAAGAGGAAAATACTAGGGGATACAAACAGCCACAATGACAGGATTATTATGGAGCCAAGTTGTATTTTTTGATATTTTTAGAGTTTTCCTACCTATTTAGGTACCAAGTTATTGCTTAAAAATTAAGGTTCTAAATTCTGAAGTTTACATGATACTCCTGGGCGCACCCTTAATTATTTATGAATTTTGAATCCAAAATAATCGTTTTCAAGATTTATTTTTCTCAAATTCAATGATTGAAAGAGCAAGACTTAAAAAACTAATACAGAGTGTAGATAACAAGTATTATCAAGACTGTCTTGCTCAGTTTTCTAAAGAAGTTGATGTTACAAAGTCAACTCTTTATGATGACATGATTTTTCAATCATTATTGGATAATTTCAATCTGAAACCTATTCCAATACCTACAATTTTGGAACAATCAGAGTTTATTAAGAAATCTCCGGATGAAGCGATTCCAAAAATCCTCCAATTTCATAGAAGTATTGATGCATCATATTTTATGGTGATGATACAACTTACTAAATCGGGTTTCGCAAAACTATTTACGTGGGATAATATGGTCATGCTATTTCCTGAACTTTATCGATGTTTGGCTTTGGCATCTTATCAAGTTGATTTAATTCCAATTGCTTGCGGTAAAGAAACCGGATTTATACCATCAACGTTTATACGATCACTTGTAGGATTTGTTAATATGATTATTTTTTTACCAGAAGAAAATGCTTTATCTATTGCAGTTGTTATTCAACAAATTACAAAACAGATTGCTAAACAACTTAAAGAAGCATTTGACAAAGGAGTTTGCAAGACATTTATTGACGATATGCTTGATTTATCTTCATCAATCAGTGTTGTTCTTTTCAGCAAGAAATTGGGAATGGATTACGAACTATCATTTCTCACTTATCTTATCAAGGTAAATTCTACGTTTTTGGCCAATAATGTCTTTCAAGACAAAAGATTACCATTTTTACAGGACTTTGAATCAACTTTGGCCACGTTATATTCAAATTCGCATATTACAGATAAAACAGTATCATACAAAATTGTTGAAATGATCTCTACTTTTCTAAATATGAATTTAAAATACGAATACAACGAAAAAACATCGAAGGTATCAGAATCCATGTTTAAAATCTTATTGTACTTACACGATTACAACAATTGTGATATAAATAAACTCGCAAAAGCCACAGCACAAGTTATTAAATGCCATATTTCAAATTTAGTAAGCGTGATAACAATTGATTACGGACAAAATGAAACTAAGAGTTACGACCATACATATAAGATCGAGAGCACTGATTTTGTTACAATACAAACTATAAATAACAATATTATCAAAGTTGACTATTCATCTCACAATATTTCAACCGAAACCGTTCAAAATATTTTTTCTACGATCAATTCAAACTTTTTAAATTTAGTTTACCAAGTTGCTGAGAAAAATTCAACATTTTATTGCGATTTAATATCAGATTTATCAGTTTTTGTTAAAGAAAACCCCAACCCTGCCATCCAATTGTTCCTTGTTGACTTAATGTGCCGTGCAAAACAAGAAGTTTTGTCAATATTATTTAGTTCGAGGTTACCTTTAGAATGGACAGCGATTATCAACAAGAATTCGTTCTCCACGAACGTAATTATTAACAAAGCACCACCTTTATATGGCCAACTCCATAAAAAAGTTTGTGAAATAATAGAAAAATCTTTCCTCATTGAATCCAAGGAGGCAACGTCTCTATCAATGATTATGTGCCAATTCCTACGCTCAAATATGCCATATCATGTTGGTTCTATCGTTAAATTATTTTATCTCATTTCAAAACGCAATCCCACACAACTTTTAGAGGTTTTCCTTGAACTCCAGATTATTCCAATGCTCATACAAATAGATATGATCTACAAATACCAGTTTACAAACGGAGATTCTGATCCATTGCTAATTGACATACATACTTATATACTTTTGACCTTTGTTGAGATGACGAGGATCACTGATTTCGTTGATAACCTTGCTATCGATGCGATTTGCTCAACTTACGTCTTATCTTTGATGTTAGAGAGAAAAGCTGAGCAAATAACCATCGCGTTCTGTCGTAATCTTCTCAAAAACCTCCATTCATCGGTTTTTATGGAAAGATTAAAGATATTTTTGACAGATATCTCTAAAAGAGGAATTGAATACATAGAACCATTCACAAACCTTTTAGATAGTATTAGATCAAGTATGCTTTCAGGAAACCAGTCTGTTTCTCTTCTTTTCAAGGAATTAAATTTCATTGAGTGTATTTGCAACGCTGTTAATCAATTTGCTGAATACGAAGGTGATCCAAACATTTTCTTTTTGTTAGTTTCAGTTTCGCTGAACACTTTTATGTCTTTTTGTCAGACATCAAACGATAATTTAATTTCTTTCAACAACGCTTCGAAATTATTCAACCAAACATATTGCAAAGCCATAACTAAGACAACATTGAACGAAGCGCTTGCTGATCTATTGATTTCTCTTTGTTTAAACGAAACAACAACATTTCAAACAGAATCTCGGCCAAGAGTTATCAAAAATACTGCTGCTTTGTGGCTATTATACAATCTCACAAAATCTAGTACTCTTTCTGATAGAATTTTCGCATATTTATTAGCAATTATTTCATCTTCAGTAGAAAACTGCTATCATTGCTATATTTGTGGTTTCCTGATGCATATAATTAAAGATATGGACAATTTTGCTCCAAATATCTTATTCCAACTGATAATAATCATTGGATCTCATTTCTATGGCATTGGAGAGCTTACAGCCATATTCAATCAGCTTAGAAAGACAGACCAGAAGTTTGCACCCCATCTTTTCGATGCAATTTTCAACATGTTCAAGACAAAAATGAGAATTCCTCTTTCAACAGGTTTTTACGTTGAAAATCAGTCAACAAGATACTTTACTCCTGCATTTTATCAGTTCCATAGGTTCAAACTTAGTTTCTCTTGTTATGTAAAACCGGATCAAACGATTAACGCCATAAAAATCTCTTCCACCCGCGAATCCTTGCTTTTTACGGTCGGAAAGAATTTATTAATCAGGTTATTTTTCGATGCCTCCGTAATTGAAAGAACATATTCTCATCCAAAGCCATTGACGATAAATCAGTGGAATCAAGTGACATGTATATACGAAGAAGGATTTATTAAAGTCATTGTCAATGGAGTTACTCATGATCAGCCGATTCAATTTGATTTCACATCAGATCCAATATTTTTCGAGCACTTGGATAGAGATAGAACTGTTGTACAGATAGAATCGATAAGTATTACCGATATTATTTCAACAAATGACCAAATAATGATTTATAACCATTCTGTTCCTTTCCCATTGTCATTCTTTGACATTCTTCCACTTGCTGGAGGTCCACAGATCTTCCTTCCTTTCTTCGAACGCATACAAGCCTCAAATAAGAGACAATATTTATTAATAAAATGTATGCAAGTCATTGGCGTGGCCATGAGAGAATTTGAGGACCAATTAACTCCACTTTTCTTCAGAGCTTTTGGCCATTTATTGAAGCAAGTTCCAATTGACTCCTGGACAGACTCAGCTGCTAAAGAACTGAAAGAAATAGCAGAGAAAATCAATGATCAAAGACTTATTGTCGCTGTTCTTCAGTACGTTTTCTTGGATATCGCGATTTGGCAGCCATTGCCAAATAATTTACAAGAAATCTTCCTCAAAGCGCTGAAATCCATAAAGAACAAGAACCCTAATTTATTCTTCAACACGTTTGACTTCGAATTAGTCTTCTCAAAGTTCTTTAATTTCCTTAAAACAAGTAACAGTACATTTTTGGTCACAACGATACTGGAATTGTTAGTTACTTATCCTTCTATTAACACTAACTCCGTAATGGCCCTTCTTTCTGTCAGTTTTTCCCGAGAAAAATACGATGATAACGCAATGATGCTTACATTTGCCATACAGAACAAGTTTATCAAGCCATTCTTGACTGTCCTTGGTAATTATGGCATTTACAGGCCATTTATTGAGTTATCATGCGATGAAAATGACAGAACTCGGTTTTGGAGCTTACATATCTTATACCAGTTGTACAAGCAGCTCAATACAGAACAAAAGAATGACTTTAACAAGCATATTTTGTTCCTCGGCCAAGAATATCCGATCCAAGAAGAAAATAACATCTTGAATTCCATTCTGGGCTTCATATTAGACGAAATCAAGGTATTTAACCAATTTTCGCCTACATGTACCGTACAAACAAAGAATAATTACACAGTTCGGAACCCAATTTTCTTTGTTTTGTTCACAAGTATCGCTGCAACGTCAAAACAAAAATCGCAGACATCAGCTGAGATACTTATATCAACGATTCAGAGTTCTATGGAGTCAAGAATCGCATTAAGACAGATTAATCACTGGATGTTCTGGTTATCGCTATTCTTTAAGGTATTTTCCAACCAAGAGGAGTTCGGAAAGACCTTGGCGATGTTTGCAATCGATATCGGAAAAGAATTTGACTCATATTATTTCTATTCTTTCTTAATTTTGGCTTGTGCTAAGTACGGATGGGAATGGAGTATCTGTGCTGGTAAGTTTATACTAGAGTTACTCGATAAAATGTTCTGCAAGAACACATTGAAAATTGTATTTCTTTATTTGACGTTGCCTCATCAATTTATGATTGACCAAAAGCTCAATTTCGATGAAAAGAACCATCTCATTGACTTAATTATCTGCTTCTTCTCGAAACAGCCAATCCCTGTTTCATTTGAATTCAAAAACCACTATACAGAGTGGAATTCGAACTATACAAGGGATATTTACACATCAATCCTTGCTCACGCTGTTTCAAATCCGAAATTATTTAATATGGAAATAGATTTCTCATCATTCCATGTTATTTCACTGATAAACATCATCACATTGCTCATAGATCTATATTACGATGTTCCAACTTCATCAGCACCTAGTTTTTGCACTTCATTTATCAGTCATTTCATGAATGTGAAGGAAATTAATGTTGGATTGTACACAGCCTTGTATTATATGTACACAATAAAGAATCTCCGTAAGAGCGACAAAGAACAGATCAAACAAGTGTTCTTTAACCAAGGAAAGAACATAATTGCGATCAGAGAAATTGCTTTCAAGTCTAAAAGCGCTCTACAGCATCTTTTCGAAACAATTATCCCTGATTTCCAAGCAACCGTCACTAAAATGATCACAGAAATCTCAGATACTTCGGCTTTCGATTTAACTTCTCACAATTTTGAGATGTCTCTCAAAAAGTTGAAAAGTGACGCAAATCATGATTCTGACGAATTCAGCGAACAACTTAACAAACACGAAGAACAGCTGAGTCGTCAGAATGCTAAAGTATGGAGTAGAATCTGGAAATCACTGCAAGAAGATGGAGGACCATGGTCAATTGTTGATCCTAAACAATATTGGAAATTAGATCCAACAGTTGATGGATACGGTAGACACTTTAGACTTAAAAAGAACAGACACTTTGATCTGCATGAAGAAGCAAGTCGACAAAGAGATTCCGGTATCAAAACTGTTGAAAAGAAACAGATAGAACCATTTCAGTTATATGCACCGAAAGAAATCCAATTTGAACAATTGACTTTCATTCATTTCGAATGTCAAATGCTGACACAGACATTGTTGTTCAAAGGAAATCTCCATATATATAAAAACTCCATCATTTTCGAGTCAACAGAAGCTTTGGAATCAACAGAAGATGGTTTACAAAAAGGAATTTTCAAAAATATTGTTCGAGAAATTGAAATTTCTGACATTTTGTATGTTTTGAATCGCAGATTTATGCATCATGATAATTCATGCGAGATATTTACTAAGAAGCGCGAATCGTACTTCTTTATATTACCTGAAGGCGTGAGATCCGCGATCTACAAGAAACTCAAGCAAATGAATGTTTATTGCCAAATTGGAAATGCTGCAAAAGTTTTGAAAGATTTCAAAGTTGTCGAAAGATGGCAAAGCGGAAAAATAAGTAATTACTACTATTTGTATTTGTTGAATATAATTTCTGGAAGGTCATTTAATGATTTGAACCAATACCCTGTATTTCCATGGGTTCTCAAGAATTATACAAGTGAAACAATTGATTTGCAAGATGCAAACAATTACAGAGATTTCAGTAAACCAATGGGTGCCATGGATAAAGACAGATTGGAAGGATTATTAATGATCTACAATGAAATTAATGACCCATCAATGAAATGCATGTACAGAGTATTCTACAGTTCATCTGCAACTGTAATTGGCTACTTAATAAGAATGGAACCATTCACTTCACTTCACATTCGACTTCAAAGTGGCCAATTTGATTTACCAGGAAGATTGTTTTGGAGTCTTCCTGATGCATTTGATTCTGCTTGTAAAGAGAGTGGAGATTTCAGAGAATTGATTCCGGAATTCTTCACTTTACCAGCTTTCCTTGAGAACCAGAATCATTTCGATTTCGGAATGATCAAATACAACGAATACAAAGTTGATGACGTCAAATTACCTCTTTGGGCACATTCCGCTGCAGAATTCATTCATATTAACAGGATGGCGCTTGAATCTCCTTTAGTTTCAAGCAGAATAAACCAATGGGTTGATTTGATTTTCGGATTTAAACAGAGAGGACAAGAAGCAGAAAACGCTTTCAATGTTTATCATCCGTTTTCTTATCCAACTATTTTGGATAACACCAAAATTTACAATGATTTCAAGAACGCTATAAATAACCATGCATTGAATTTTGGTGTTGTTCCGAATGTTTTGTTTGATTCTCCAAGCCCTTCCAAACCGTTTGTTGCGAATAGAGAGATGCAAGGAAGTTTCTTCACTCCTATAAGTATCCAAAATATCTCTGAAGTCGGTTGCGTTTCTTTCTTTAATTCACAAATTGTTACTTCTTCATTTGATGGAAAAATCAATTTCTATAAAAGAATTGTTAAAAGTGAAGTGAAACAAAGAAAGAGTTTTCAGTTTAATGAACAATATCTTCCATGTTTCATGACGAATTCCGCTAATATTAGGATATTGTTGGCTCATGAATCATTTGTGATTTTGGCTCCTCCGACATCGAACTATTTCACGATGTTTGACCTTTCAAGTTTCGAACCATCGAAGATCTTCAACTCCGAGAACCATCCAGGAACGATTTCCGCTTTGGCCTGCGACACGGACAACGAAAACAAACTTTATGTTGCGTCTGCAGCGAGTGACAGTTCTTTCTTTGTTTATATCTTTGAAATCTCGAATTCAAAGTTGTTGTTGAGAGGAAGAATGTCATCAATGTTCCATTCGCAGCCGATAATTGATGTCGACATCTCTTATATCTATGATTTGATCGCAACTGTTGATTCCCAAATGTTGGTGTTCACTTCACTTTTGACAGGAAAAGTAATTATCAGCAAATCATTGAATTATGTTCCAATTTCTGTCAAAATTACTGAACTAGGATATGTCATTGTTGTTTCCAATTCACATGAAAATAATGAGGATATAACAGTGATTGATTTATACGACATGATGTGCAATAAAATAGGAACGAAGAAGAGATTAAGTAAATGCACTGCACATTGTTTGTTTACTGATGAAAATTCTCAGGAATTCGCAATTTTCGCTTTCTCTGATTTGTCAATGGCAATAATGAATGTATTTGATTTCGATACAGTTATACAAGGTGAGCTTCCGAAAATGGCAACATCAATCACAGCTGATAGAGTTAATAATTGTGCTGTTTTCTCTTTGATTGATGGATCTGTTTATATCTACGATTTTAACTAATTTTTATTTTATTATTATTTTATTTGTTTATATAAATCTATTATTTCTATAACAATTGCTTTTTATAAGTTTTAGGTATTTAAAAAAAGACTCTCACACATCCCACAGGAATACATCGATTGGCTTGATAATGGGGAGATGTTCTCAAAAGGGAAATTTATTCTCAGTAAATTTTTTCTTATGTATTTGACTATGCCATATGACTATTTGGTTCAGTTTTGATGATCGGAATTATTTGGTATTACAGATTGTGCAAATTTATGCAACGATTGAAATCAATGCATGTAATCGAGCAAATTTCATGCATGCGACGAGCCAGCAAGACTTTGTTGAACTTTTTGGTGAATTCCAAATAGGAGATTTGTAAATTGTAAGTTTATATTCTATAATTTAATAATTTTTTTCCAAAATGTTAGCGATTTCTTATGAGAATAGTATTTCTATAAATGGTTATTGTTTAAAAATGAAATAAATTAAAATCAATAAGTTTTATCAATGAATTAAAAAAAACATAAATTATCTATCATTATAAGCTGGGAATTTGATAGAAATGCGTTGAAAACGTAACAATTTCTTAATTATACATATTATCCAATTCGTAGGCGTCAGATTTTACATCCCCAAGGATAGCCTCCAAATTACTATCCTCTGCATGTATATCCCAGTACTTAATGTGCAATAATCCAAGAATTGCAAAAATGAGTGCAATAGGAGCAATTAAAATCCATCCTTCATATCGTATTTCTTCTTCCTCCTTATATGGATGTTCATTTACTTCTTTTTTGAGGAAAGCATATAAATCTTCAAATTCTTTTTGATAAGCTTCGTAATCGAAACCTCGGCTGTAATCTTTTACTTCTTCAAGGGTGTTGATACCAGTTGGGATAAAAAGACCTATGTTATCTGGGAAGAGGTGATCGGATTCCTCACTATCTCCTTCATTTTGGACTTTGAACGAGTATTTCATATCGATGTCATCGCCTTCAGAATTGTAACCAACTAAGGGTATTATGGAGCCTTCTGTATCATTAATAAATTCTTCTTCTTCCCATAAATTCCAATAAATTTCATAATGCCAGAAACTTAATTGGGCATCACCGCTAACAGAGTGTGATTGTGAATAGGTATACTTGGAAGATTTTCCGGGTGGACTTAAATGATAAACATTTGTACCGCGTCCTAATGCATAGTCGTAATATTCTGTAGAAGATATGTTGTAGTAGGCAAATAAATCTATTGAGTCGGATGCTTTTGTGGAGAAATAAACTTTGATATCTTTATCAGAAATTGATTTACGGTATAACTTCTTGTTTGAGAAAATTCTCATAATAGAAGTAATTACCTTTGTAGTATTGCTGTATACATCATATTCTGTTCTATTGTATTTAAATGGAGGAGAAATTGGGAGAATTGAGATTTTGCATGTCTCAGATTTACAAGTATAAATTGTACGATTTTCACCTTCATATTCTTCATTGTAGGGTTCATAGATAACTGAAAATGGATTCAAATAGTCTTTGCCATGAATAGATGCAGAATAAGTCCCTGTTCCACTTACAAGATGAGGAAATTTGACATAAACTTCATCTTCAGATGTGAATTCTTGATTAGCATATTTGGGGAATCCGAAGGTACGAGTAGAATTACTAATATTTTTATAGCCATATATATATATATCTTATAGAAAGTATCAGCATCGGAATAAGAATTTAAAATTATCGCTTGATTCAAATTTTCAGAACTTTTCAAATGGTTCAATGTTGATGTACGGCAGAAGTAATCATGGACATCTTAAAAGTAAATATAATTTTCAAAACTGATATAGCGACTATAATTTTTCACAAAAATTTTTGCGGTTTCGATAAATATGTGCTTAATAAAAAGAAAGAAAATGTTTAAACTCGATTTCTTCTCAAAAAAAATCTTTTCCACTAATTTGTTTGCAAAGACGTTATTGTAATTTTTTTAATAAGAATTTAGAATCAACTTTTAAATCAAAGCTGGTTTTGATTAAAAATCTTTGTTTCAAAAATTGAGAATATTGAGAATCAATTGTTATGGAATCGGGAGACTTGACTCTTTTTTCATTAGCCAATTCCTTTGTTACATACCTTCAAAACATTGCAATCTCACTAGGATTTTTCAAACTTACTCCCCCTGCTTGGCTCAAAAAAGCTGGAGACGCTATTATTAATTTTTATACAACGATACTTAATATTCAAAACTCTTTACAGGAAATGAGCTTATCAGCCAAGTTAGCAATTAACTGTATCTTAATTCCAGTGATTTTAATGTTAATTGGTCAAAGTTTCATGGGAAGTATTTCAGTCTTTTTTGAATTTTTCGTCTGTCCATCAGCAGCAATTCTTGGTCTTGGTATCGCATCATATGCAAAGAACAGTGATTATTACGTGATGATAGTTGGTGCAGCATGTCTTGCTGGTTCTATTTTAATATTATTAATTTTATTTTGTTGTCATCCAATCCAACATTACCCATTCAGGCATATTGGTAAAAATACGAAATTAGGCCTTTTGCATTTAGCTGGTACTGCAATTTTCTTATTTTTGGGAATTGCAAGTTCTGGGATAATCAAGGTTAGATTTTTCGAGGGCATTAAGGAAACATATTTTCCTATTGGAACAGTAATTTTTTACATAATTGCAGTATTATATTTTATTTATGCTTGTTTCAGGATGACAAACAAAGGTGCAATTAAGTTAAGCAGGCTAAAAGTATTGCTACGATTAAATGTAATGAAATTTGTGTTCGTTCTTTATAATGCAGCTTATTTGCCAGTTTTCCAATCAATTCTTTATTCAACAATGGTCATCAAAGATGTATGTCCACCAGGAACATATCCATACTCGTATGCTGGCGGTAACGTTTTCGCATCTAGATATTTTTCATGCATAACGAATGAAAATATTTCAGAAAGCAATAGTGAAACAAGATTTAGGTTTAATCTTGCAACAAAAACAGCTGAATGGAAGTATGAATATGCGCCACAAATTGTTTTCTGTATTATTTTCATTACCATTGCTTATCCTGTCGTCATTTACTTCATTATCAAAAAACTTTATGATGAATATGGAGACCAAGTTTACAAAATGGAAAACGCAGGAGCAAGTTTATTTAAAGATTATAAGTATAAGCACAGGTTTTGGCCTCTTGTTCAACTATTATATAAGTTGATTATTGCTACAATCACAATCCTTGCCAACTTGTATGTTCCTGGATTGGTGTTTTTGCTTACCTTTATTTATATTGGATATGGAGTATTGATTTTCTTCATAAAGCCATACAAAAATAAGTATAACAACTGGATTGAAATTGCAGACAATGGATTAAGTGCAATTTTCTCATTATTACCTGTTGCAGCTGCGTTTGGTGCAAATGTTGCTCCACTTGCAATGACTATTTTGAGTGTAATTGAAACAGTTTGTTCCTTGGGAATTTCAATTGCTGCATTTATCCTTGATAAGAAGAAAGGTAAAAAAGAAGAGACAACAAGGAAAGTAAAAGAACTTGAAGCAAATTATCTTATGGAGAAGCCGCTTATACATTATACACTGTACTTCTCTTTGTTTGGCTTTCTGATATTTGGATTTTTCCTTGGTAATCTTGCTTATTTTCAAAAACCAACTATCGATTTCGAATATATTCCTACGAATACTTGTGTATTCCTCGAGTATCAACCAAAAATGGACTTTTTCAATACTGATGAATGTACTCATTTTGGTGAAGCTATCGATTATATGTTTTAGAGATATTATGACGGATCGATTTTAATCATCCGAGAAAAAATAAAATATAGATTTTTTTGTAAAGAGTTAAATTATCTTTTTTTCGATTTTAAATAGGCAATGTCTATGCTAAGCTGTAAAATTATATCAGTTCAGACAATTATTCAAAATAAGCTATTGTTATGCCCACATCTCTAAATGTTGTATGTTTTAAGTGAATTTTTTGGGGAAATAAGTTCGATTCATTTGTTCCATTTTGTAAAATTGACTGTTTATTTTACTATTGTTGGAAATAACATAAACACTATAATGCTTTAAGTGATCATTTGAATTGATATATGATCATTGAGTTAATAGAGGCAAATTAAATCAATTGGAAAAATCGATTAAATTTTTCCCAAAAAAATACAGATATTTTAATTGGTTTTCGTCATTGTAATATTTGTGTATGATCATATTTTTTTTCCTATAAATTTGATTGTTGTGTAAACTATTGAATTAATTCTGCTGATTTGAAGGCCGTTGCTGAAATTCAATGAAGAAAATTTACCTTCGAATTTATTTCATTATAAAATGAGCGACAAAGTTAGGTGCATCGTGACCTACAGATTCCCAAACTCCAATGTTATATATGAAGCATCTGTAGACCATAGAGGAAGTCTTATTAATCCACATCCTATCAAAGAAGCTAAAAATATTCCAAGTATAACTTTTGTTACAGAGCCAGTATCTAATCCAAAGATAGATGTTAATTTATTTGATGATTTTGATGATAATCCATTCGATTGTTTTATTGATCCAGACAAAGAAAATATTCAATAGAAAATGACGAGGAAAATCATATCATATATATGAAAATGATTTTTCACGCATTTCTCTATAGAATATTCTTTTTGTAAATCCATAATTTCATGGAGAATTTATAAAAAAATCCAAAATTTATAACCATTTTATTTTATTACTTATTTTCCTTGCTTTAAAAAGATTTTAACAAGAATTATCTTTTGAATAAGCTGTTGTTGATACAGAAACTTGGAGGGAAATTATAACATGAAGCTTATTGATTCGAAATTAACATGGAGCATTAAAAGATAGGTAACAGTGATGTGAAATACTTATATGAATAAGTCAATCACTATAAAAAAAATTTAAAGAAATTAAATTTATGCATTTTATAATGATCAATTATATGGCGTATTCAAAATATTGGTTATATGGATTTGAATAAGCCAATCATTAAAAAAAAGGAAAGGAAATTAAAATAATATAAAAATAATTATCGTTTATACATATTTAACTATAAATTCAATATCGACCAAACTTAGCGTAAGACAACTGGGCCTTCAACAGTTCTACTTTCTTTTCATATTCTTGTTCCATTCTATCAATCTGTTCTTGGGATTTCTTTGTTACAGCAACTCTCTTTTGAACGAACTTCTCCTTCAGCTGCTGGTCCGCTCTGAAGTAAGCTTTGCTGATTTCGGTGTTTTTGACTTTAGTTTCTTTTCTTTCGATATCTTCGACATGTTTCTGGAGGATCTTGACGTCCCTAGTCTGTGAATTTATGATCGCCGAGTGAAGACGGCTGCGGAGATTGATCAAATCGCTACTTGGTTTGTTATATTTCGCCAAGGTCTTGGGGTTCTGCCATAACACATCTAATTTATGGGCTTCCTCGAGGTACTCGTCATCGAGAGCGTTGATCGATGAATCAAGAAGGTCAAATAATTCATCAATCGACTTTTCCTTCTCTTCGAAGGTTTTCTGTATTTCGAGTTGTATTTTATCGACTTCGTTTTCGCGATGTGATGTTATTTCTGGTATATTCGATAGAATTGATAGGATAAATTTGGCTTCATCGTACCAGTTGTTTCCCTTTGTAATTTTGAGATATTTCTGTAGTGCTTTCTTGACTTCTGGAATATCCTCTTCGTTCTCGACGTATCCGTTCTGTAATGCTTGAAAAACTGGAGAATCTTCGTCTTCTACAACGATTTTGTCTAATCTTCCGAACAACGCTTCTGTAATTTCATCAACAACTGCATCTGGAATGGATTCTGATGATTCTTCGTCAACTTCTACGATCTCTTCCTCTTCTTGTTCAATTAATTGGTCAGAATCAACACCAGACTCTTCTTCATGGGCTTCGTCCTCCTCTACGACCTCTTCTGGTATCTCTTCGTCCTCAATTTTCTCGAGTTTTTGAGAATTTTGATTCTCATTTCGCTTTGGTATCGTAGAGATGATATTTTCGAGTAAATGCTGAGATTCTGAAGCCTCGCCAAGCTTCATGCCGAAGCTTCCTGATCTTGGCCTTGTCTGATGTCTTTGGATGTCTTTCTTTGTATTTGAAGGAGAAGGTTCCTCGCTTATCGCTGGTATTGGATCAGGAAGCTTCTCTGCTATGTAAGAAAGCGTTGGATGTGGTTGTTCTTGAGTTAAAGAGGAGACAGCCATAATAGATTGGGATGCGGCTCTAACGAGAGGAATGAGATCTTTCGGAGGTTCGTATCCCATCTCTTTCCATCTTCCAGTATTTTTAGCCTTTAATTGCTTGACCATGATGACTTGAGGATTATAATCTTCTTCTGCCTCTTCGTCCTCGTTTTGTGGATCCGATTGATCATTGACAGGAAGGATGAGCGAATCTTCCTCTTTAATTTCGGATATCGGAACAATATTACTGATTTTTTTCGCGACAGATTCTCCTTTTGGAATTGAATTTTCGAGAGATAGTACAGCATATGATGAATGTCGAACATTTAAGCCGATTGGCATATCGTCCTCCTCTTTTTTCTCCGGTTTAGTAAGATTTTCTTCGTCCAATTCTGAAACTTCATTGAGATTTGAAATTGCGTTGCCACCTTTCATGACAATTTGATTGCCATGCAAACTTGAAAATGAGGGCTGACGATGTGTCAATCCAATTGGGGCATCTTCTGAATCATCAGTATCATCCAGAACAAGCACTGGACCAGCAGTCTTTGTTGGACTGTTTTTAGCAGCTTCGGACTGCTTGAAATGCTTATCCAGGTCGGTTTCAACTGGATTCTTTTGAAGTAAGGCCATCAATGGGTTATCTTCGCTCATTTTACAAAAATTATTTTTTTCAAAACATAAGTTATATTCTTTTTTTCTAAACGTTACAAAAGTTTTATTTTCTTACCTCCTCATTTTGTCCGATTCCCAGCGAAACCTAAATAAGTCCTACTTGAGGTGTCAGAAAAGTCTTTAATTTTGGATTATATGAGGTTCTCCTGATAATTCCAATTTTGATAAGCTTAAAATCAGAGTTCAGTGCTTATAAAATAACTATATATGCAAAAACAAAGAGAAATTAATGGATAATGGACTGTAAAATTATTTATAAAATGAAAAAATAAATCAAAATTCGATATTCCATACGTCATATATCATAAATAGATTTTTATTACAATGGAAACTAGAATATATAACTTAACACTATTGTAAAATATCTGTATTAAATGAAATTTGTTAATTTATGCTATTAAAGTAACTTACTAATGTGTTTAGCTATCTTATCGATTTTCTAATAGATGTTAAGCTGATTGTAACATCACAATAGAAAATTATTTAATTCCAAAAAACATTTGTAAATTCTATATATCATTGATCAATAGCTAATATGTACTCTAAACAAATTAGAAAATAATTCATGTATAAACATCATTTATTAAAAAAAACAAACAATAAAAATTAAAAAAAAATTAAGGAGAAAGTTTTGCTTTTGATTGCAAACTTCTTTCAATAACTTCAGATTGAAGGGGTTCTTGTTTGAGCTCCTTTTTCCTGATGATTTTGAAGTTAATGGACATGGCCTTTCCTAAAGTGGAAGAACTAATATACGATATGAAATTGTTCTTAGCATGGTTGATGTCAATGGTTTTTGACTGACCAGATTTAGTATTCAGTCCGATATAAAAAATAATTTTTCCGCCATAAGAAATTTTGCTTGGCCAAATGTTGGCTTCGCATATCCCAGGTATTTCCTCAAGAATTTTAACTAATCTTGTTAGTTTTGAGGAAAGGAATCCGATTATTTCATCTTTAATTTGGGAATTTGTTGGAATAAGGTCGATGCAAAGGAAATATCTGTAGTCTGCAAAGAAACAACCACCTTTGAACAGTTCTTGCCATGATAAATCTGATATCAAAGCTTTCTTGGTTGTTTCAAGAGCTCTTTGTAATTCCTTAATGATTCTCTTTCTGCTGCTTGTAGTTACAGCTCGTAAACTGTTGATTTGTGGATAAGATTGTGTCATCAAAATCATTGGATCATTTAATTGGAAATCCGGAGTATTACTGTCTAAATTCAATTGTATATCCCAATCCCAACTGGAGAAGTACTCAAAGAAATGGAAAATAAGCATGCTAAGTGAACAATTCGGATGTTGATTGCATATTATAGCGCACATCATTGATATATTGATACCTTTAAGGTAACCATATAAGTTTCCGAATATTTCACGTTTTTGTGCCCAGTTTCTGATGAATCTGGTAAAATATGGGAAATTTGGATGATTTTTCATCAAATCACGAATAAGTAAGCAATTTAGATAACCGTTTAGTGATAGCTGTGCTTTGGGCTCTAATTTGTCCATATCTTCCTTTTTGATATTGTTCAAATTTTTGATTTTTATTTGGTTATTTAAAGGAGCAAAAGAAATGTCGACACTTATGTCATTACAAACTGTTTTAATGATCGGAACAAATGCATTTTCTACTTTAATTGTTTCCTTAATTGAAGGATGACGAATTAATTCTTCATAAAATCCTTCAAAAAAATCCTTGTATGTAAAATACTTTGGTGCAATTAGTATAACATCAACATCAGAATCTGGCTCCCACGTGTCCATTAAATAGGACCCATTTTCATGAATGAAAATTTCTGGCGATTTCGGATCTGTATTCATTGAAAATGAGAGCCTCTGTTTGCGTTCAGCAAATTTTATGGCAATATTCTTGATAATGTATACAACAATTTTTCTGGATTGATAATCTTCGAGAGTTGGCATTAATTTTGATGAACGAATTACGTGTCTGATGCTTTCATCTGGATTTGAATCGGTATTGTTGTTTGGAGAGCTTTCCTGTGTGGAAGAACCAAACATTTTTATTTTATCAAATTTTGGACTGAAAAGGATCTGAAATTTATTTTATCGCATGAGAGGCAAATTAAATAGTAATTAAGATTATATTTGAACATGAAAAATGTTGGTAATTTCAAAAAATTTGCCAGCTGCGACTATTTTTTTTTGACTAGACTCAAAAATATATTATCTTTAAGGAGTAATGTTATATTAGATTTTACTTAATCTTAAACTAATGCTACCAATCAAATTTCAATTTTTAACTTCATTGATGCATATATTTATAGAAATTTTTCCTGGGCGTCAAAAATTTTCTCACTGGGTTTTCGTCTATCAATCCCAGCTCATTATATACGCAACCAATCAAAAATCTGATATGGGAGGCCAAGGCTAACTTTTTGTTGTCTACCTAATAAAAGAGGAAGCAGCATTAGTGAGAATAATCGCAAATACTCAATTTAAATTATCTTTTTATTCTTAATTTAAAGTGACAAAAAGAATAAAAAACCTATTCTAAGGCATGTTGTTATGTAAATGAGACTAGACATCATATTTTATGTTATGAAAAAAAATATTTAGAATTTTAGAACAAAATAAATAGAAAAAATAGCATAACTTATGGATGTGCGTATATTAAATTTAATAAATTAAGAGAAATTATTTTTGGCGCCAAAATTATTCGTTAACTCTCAAATTTTTCTGAGTCAATAAGCCGCCAAAAAAGTGTCATTTTGTTTCGTTAGAGAAAGATGAATTGTCCATGTCATCCAATCGGGAACAAGGGGGATGGGGATTAGATGATAAAGAAGCAATTCATGCTCTCTATCTGAAGCAATCAGACTTACCAGCAACAATGTGAATCGATTTGGCTTTAAAGTTAATATAGCAGATCAGCTTGTTACTGGAGAGACTAGGCATTACGATTGATTCGCTGTAGTGCTCTACTTTAATTTAAGAGTAGTAACGGATAACTGAATTCCCAAAATTCTTTAGGTGATCCAAAACACTGTAGCTGCTTGAACTTTGGACGAGCCTCGCACCCCAGAGAATAGAAATCCCAATCTTGCTCATGTTTAGTTGAATTAGTCTGCAGCAGTACAGCTCTGATACCACAAGATCGTGATGTATACAAAGTCACAACGCTATTTGATTCAACAACTAGCTAGTTTTGACATCAAATTGCAAAATTTGACTTCGTTATGAGCTCTTTGTAGCAAAAATACATTACACTTAAAGACTAGTTGCTAGACTGTAGTAGTTTGTTCGTATATATCTATTTTTCCCCAACGTATTGCATACTACATTTTGACAAGACTTGCAACCTTATAGTAACCTCGTTGGGAATTGTTCAAGCAAAGCGTAGGTAGTTAAGGTCGAGTAAGAGTTCTTCTTAAATCTTTCACTGAATGAGTAGGTGTTGGAAGAACTGTTCTCTAAAGCGATACAGTTGCGCTACATGTTCGTCAACTTGTCTAGAAATAAATATATCATTTGTTTTATACGTTTTTTCGTAATAAATCTATTTGTATTTGTTGTATTTGAGTATGAAGATAACAAAAACTACGGCATAAGACGCAGTACACTGGGCTTCGTTGCCATTTTATTTACCATGTTAAGAATAAACTTAACAGACATGCTTTGTTTTCGACGAAGCCATCTAAAATAACGTACATCTAAATAAAACTAAAAAACTGTAAAATTTCTTTATTTGATAGTATACTTCAAATTATGCACTATACCTTCTAGAATTCTATAACACTCTTTGCATATAATTTTTTTTAAAAAAAAGTTATATCTCGACAAAAATATGATTTATCAATAGAGTATGTAAAATAAAACTCATTCGCAGTATTAAAAAATCGTAAATCTTTCCAAAAAATTTTGAATTACAAATTTTAAAACTTAAAACAACATTTTTTGAAGCGAAAAAACAAAATCTAATTTTTTTGGAAAATTTAGAATAAATAGAGCTCTTTAACTCGTCGAATACAAATTGTTTTCAAGTTTTTTTCGACCGGAAATTGAACTTTTAGAGTTTATACAATAAGATTCACATGAAAAAATACGGGTTTAACAAAGAAATCACCAATATAAAGGTTTTCTAGTAGAACGAGATTGATAAAAACTATGGTATGATAAAAAGACGATAATTTTTTTGGCGGGATAAAATGGCAACGAAGCCCAGTGTACGTTGTTATCTTGATACTCAAATACAACAAATACAAATAGATTTATTACGAAAAAACGTATAAAACAAATGATATATTTATTTCTAGACAAGTTGACGAACATGTAGCGCAACTGTATCGCTTTAGAGAACAGTTCTTCCAACACCTACTCATTCAGTGAAAGATTTAAGAAGAACTCTTACCCGACCTTAACTACCTACGCTTTGCTTGAACAATTCCCAACGAGGTTACTATAAGGTTGCAAGTCTTGTCAAAATGTAGTATGCAATACGTTGGGGAAAAATAGATATATACGAACAAACTACTACAGTCTAGCAACTAGTCTTTAAGTGTAATGTATTTTTGCTACAAAGAGCTCATAACGAAGTCAAATTTTGCAATTTGATGTCAAAACTAGCTAGTTGTTGAATCAAGTAGCGTTGTGACTTTGTATACATCACGATCTTGTGGTATCAGAGATGTACTGCTGCAGACTAATTCAACTAAACATGAGCAAGATTGGGATTTCTATTCTCTGGGGTGCGAGGCTCGTCCAAAGTTCAAGCAGCTACAGTGTTTTGGATCACCTAAAGAATTTTGGGAATTCAGTTATCCGTTACTACTCTTAAATTAAAGTAGAGCACTACAGCGAATCAATCGTAATGCCTAGTCTCTCCAGTAACAAGCTGATCTGCTATATTAACTTTAAAGCCAAATCGATTCACATTGTTGCTGGCAAGTCTGATTGCTTCAGATAGAGAGCATGAATTGCTTCTTTATCATCTAATCCCCATCCCCCTTGTTCCCGATTGGATGACATGGACAATTCATCTTTCTCTAACGAAACAAAATGACACTTTTTTGGCGGCTTATTGACTCAGAAAAATTTGAGAGTTAACGAATAATTTTGGCGCCAAAAATAATTTCTCTTAATTTATTAAATTTAATATACGCACATCCATAAGTTATGCTATTTTTTCTATTTATTTTGTTCTAAAATTCTAAATATTTTTTTTTCATAACATAAAATATGATGTCTAGTCTCATTTACATAACAACATGCCTTAGAATAGGTTTTTTATTCTTTTTGTCACTTTAAATTAAGAATAAAAAGATAATTTAAATTGAATATTTGCGATTATTCTCACTAATGCTGCTTCCTCTTTTATTAGGTAGACAACAAAAAGTTAGCCTTGGACTCCCATATCAGATTTTTGATTGGTTGCGTATATAATGAGCTGGGATTGATAGACGAAAACCCAGTGAGAAAATTTTTGACGCCTTTTTCCTGCAGCCATTAATGTGCTGACTTGTAATTTCTAAATTAGACAAATAATTTGTCAAATTACGCAATAACTTTATCGGTAAAAAAATTATTACACCCTCTCAGAGCAAAGTGATTTCTGGTGGTAAAGATACCACATTTATTTAAGGAGATTCTCATTTTTTTTCGTAACTTGATTGATAAGTTCATGGATTCTCAGGATATGAAAGGTGACCAAACTATTTTTTGAAAGTCCGCCATAACTTTAATGGTACTATTTCAGCGTGTACAATGAATACAAAAATTCTAAGAGTGCCACATAAAATAGTACTTTAGACTTGAGTTAATGCTACCAAGCAAATGTTAAAAAGATGACTTTAGTGTTTTGATAATCAAAGATTAAAATCATTATTGTCTAAATCAATAATCATAACGACAGAAGTTAATGTTTTTTCATCAGTGCTTTAAATCCACTTTTAAAAGTATACCTCAAAAATCAAAATATCAAAAAAAATTGGCCGATAGGTTTGGCTTTAATTTTTGTCTGCTTTTATGATTTGATATGGATGTTATAATTTTAAAAGTTGAGCCAAATTCACCAATAGATTTTTGAGATTTGCAAATACTCAATAATTTTCAGCGTGTTATCTTTTATTAAAAGAACTATTTGGTTTCAGTATCATATAAATTGATATTTACTTTCTATTTGAACCTTCATTTAGCTAATGATTTAGTAATACAGATTTCATCTAATCCTTATAAGAGAATTTTGAATTTGTTATAATAAAAAAACAAACAGATATAGCTTACACATCTATAATAAAGATACCTTTTATAGAAATCAGTATGAAATGTGTTTTGGCTTATTGGAAGCATATCAGACATAATCGCCATAATCAAAAAATCTATATACCCAATAAGTAATAAATTTGTCGATATAGATTTTCCATAAAATTAGTTTTTAGTCTGATCTTAAAATAAATTTAATTTTTTATAAAAAAAATCACATTTAAAAGTACCTTTTTAGTAGCTCGAAATCCTGTTGGTGGATTTGGGGCGTACTTCAAAATTAGCTTTTCTTCTACATATGCAAGCTATATTTTAAATATGGGGCAAATCGGATCGGCGAAAGGAGTTTAGTTACCTTTAGGATATGAAAATTACGGTTATTGAAGGTTCTATTTTCTGTATTATTTACATGAAAGCTGTACTTCGCTAAAGTTTCAATAGATGTCGATAGAAAAAAAAAAGCGGGAAAAAAATATGAGTCGTGAAATTGTTCAGAATTTCGAATACATTGGTGCTCATATCAAGGATTATATTGATGATAACACTCTCTTTGATATATTCAAGATCGGAGACATCAAAACACACCAGAAGACTTCAATACTCTTCTTGATCAATCATGTTCCCAAGTTGATGCAAACACATTATATATATGCACTAGAAAAGCAAATATTTCAATCAATAACCTACAAGATGCAATTTCAATACTGAAATCTATTAAAAAATACATGAAACTTCAGATATTAGATAGCATTATTGACATTTTGGATCATGTACAAAATGATATCTCCAATTCAACAAACAAAAGCGAAAAGCCTCAATCAGATTTCAATCAAGTTCCAAAAGAAATAGTTAAAGAAAACACCGAGCAAGAAATGCAATCTATTAAATCTCCAATACAAGAAAACCAAGAAAACGAATTTCCAATCGAATTTCTTGATAAAATTTCTAAACTTAAAAATTCCTATTTTACTTATGAAATCTACAAATTTTTTGATGAAATTTCAGAAAAAGGGAATCAAAAAATGATGCTCAAAGCAATTGAAGAAGGACTTCATGAAAAAATATTTGATTGGGGCAATGTACTTCATCATGCATCAGAAAAAGGAAATCTGAGACTTGTTAAATCTCTAATTGAATGTGGTTGTGACAAAGAAGCAGAGGGTATATGGGGTTATACTCCACTCCTTTATGCATCGTGGAAAGGTCATCTTGAAGTAGCTAAATATCTTATCTCGATTGGAGCTAATATTGAAGCAAAAGAGGATAAGGGAGAAACTCCACTCTATATTGCATCAGAAAATGGTCATGCTGAAGTTGTTAAATACCTTATCTCAGTTGGAGCTAATAAAGAAATAAAGAATCAATTTGGATATACTCCACTCATTGTTGCATCAATAAATGGCCATCTTGAAGTTGTTAAATGTCTTGTCTCAGCAGGAGCTAATAAAAATGCAAAGGATAGAGATGGAGATACTCCACTCATACATGCATCAATGGGAGATCATCTTCGAGTTTTTAAATATCTTATCTCTGCAGGAGCCGATAAAACTGCAAGAAATAATAACAGACAGACGGCAAATTTAGTTGCAGGTAGAAATGTTAGAGATTATCTAGTAATAGAACAATTTAAGAGAAACCACGTTAATTTCTAGAGATGTCTTCTTTCTTACGGTTGGATGTAGTAGTCTAAGATCTTAAAACATAATTGAAAGCCGTGTAATACCGAATTAAATTATCAGTAAAAAATTATCATTAATCAAAATCAATTTTCAAATTAAATAAAAATGTTTCTTCTTTGATGTCTACCATGAGAATTTTCTATTAATAATAACGAAGACATATATGTGGTTTAAAATTAAAATAAAAATCATATTTTTTATTTTCTAATAAAATTATATTAACATTTGAATAAATGGGAATAAATACATGGTTGATATCTTAAATTGAGGTTGGATTTTGCATGTTACTGATATATCGCATTCATTATTAAAAGCGATTTTCGGAATTCCCTGAGCAATGAGAGTATTCCGTACTGATGATGGTGCGGAAAATCCACCACATTTCACAAGATTATAGCAGCCAGAGAAAACCTCTGATCCAAATGCTACATCGATTTTAGATGAAGCGAAGAATACGAAATTAAGATTAGGGCAATTTTTAAAAGCTTGATAATCAATTCGTTTTATCTTGCTTCCACTGAAGAAAACGCGCATAAGTTGGGGGCTTCCCATGAACGCATAGCTTCCAATGACTTCCATTTCAGATGGAACCATGAAATTTTTGATTTCACTATATGGAATAAATACAATGAGCTTTGTTTGTATGTAGTTCATTAATGCTCCATTATAAAATGAAAAGTTTGCTTCTGCTGGTGAAAGTTTAATTTCTTTAAGATTGAAGCATCCTGTGAAGCAACCGCCTTCAACGGTCTTAAGGTTGCAATTAGTTACCATATTGACTTCACTCAGTTGTTCGCAATTCTGGAATGAAAAACTTCCAATTGTTAGAAGAGTTTTTGGAATAGTAAAACCTTCTAATGATTTGCACCCATTGAAAGCAAAAAGACTTATTTGAAAGACGCCTTCTCTCAAATCTAAAGTTGTGAGAGAAGTACAATACTGACACATCATTTGAGAAATGTTGCAACTTATACTCAGATCCTGAATTTTGCTATTATTAAATGCACTTGTGCCAACATAATTCAATGAATTTGGAAGATTTGCAGTGGTAAGACCACTAGACATAAATGCTGAAATCCCTATGGAATTCAAAGAACTCAAGGAAGATAATCCAATATCTCCAAGATTTGTGCAATCTTGGAAAGCGTAATTTCCAATCTTCTCGATTGATTTTGGAAGAGTTATGTATTTAAGATTTTTAGAATTATAAAAACAGTAATCTGGAATTGTCGTTAACTTATTACCTTGAAAAGTAACATTCACGAGATTTTGGCAATTAGAGAATGCGCTATCTCCTATCAAGCTTAATCCAGGAGGCATTTCAATTGAAACAATTGTGGAGTAATCGAAAGCATTAGCTCTTATTTCCATATTTTCATTGTTCTCAAAGTAAACATTTTTCAACTTTTTTGACAAAAATGTATTTGATGCAATTGCAGTACAATCAGACCTAATAATAACATCATAATTAGTGTTAGAACCAAGATAAGTAAATACTGTCTGATTATTATCCCTATACATAACGAACTCATCAATGAAAAAGTTTGGATTTTGAGAGTCAATTTCAATGTTAGTTATCAAGTTAAAAACTCCATCACCAAGTGTCTGAAGACTTTCTGTAAGCGAAATATGTGTCAATGATCTGCATTTATAAAATGCTGAGTTTCCAATTTCTGTTAAATTTGGCGGCAATTCGATATTTTTCAATTCGAAACAATCATAAAAAGCAGAATCTTGAATGACTGTTATATTTTTTGTAAAATATACCGTTGTTAGATAACGACAACCTCTAAACATTGAACTTGCGACTAAAGTAATTTGTTTTGGAAAAGAAAATGTTATTATTGGATTACCTGAAAAGCACCATGAATATACATTAGTAATGTCATCATGCATAATTATTTCGCTAAGACTAGCACCTCGAGCTGCAGAAGAACTAATACGAGTAACAAAAGATGGGATAGTAAAAGAGCCTGTTTTCGTTGATGAAACAAAAAACAAAGTATTATTTTCAGCTCCAGAATAAATGATCTTTCCGTCTGTTTTATATGCTTGATTTCTCTCATCAATAGCTATTTCATTCAAAGGGCAACCTGCTAAACTCGATGGATCAAGTTTAGTGCATAACGAAGGGATGAAAAAGAAATCAAGATTAGAATTTGCGAAAACATCACTTTCTATTGTAGTTAGATTTGAATTACGACTAATGGTTATCCGTGTAAGCGCGCTATTTCCAAATGTCCTTCCTAGTTTGGATGAGCCATCAAGGGTTGTTACGCTGTCTGGTAACTCTATTTCAATTAAATTTGTTGTGTCTTGGAAACAAGCAGTTCCTATTCGAATTAAATTTGGAGGAAGTTTGATGGATGATAACTTGGCGCACTGATAGAAAACAGCTGCATTTAGAAATGTGAGTTCTGAGCAAGAACTCATATCAACAGATTCTAAAGCAGATTGTGCAAAACAATACTTGGATATACTTTTTAATAAACTTCCTTTTTCAAATGAAATGGATGTAATGGCATCCTTGCAACCATAAAACATACTAGACGTAATAATTTCATCACTGGATAGCGATGGAATAGTGGTGCATAATTTTGGGAATACATAATCACCAGATAATTCGCTAGTAACAAAGAGAAGTTTACTCCAATCATCACTGTATTTAACACCATGGTCGTGTTCTTGATAACATAGTAAAAATAAGAGAATTCTCCCTTAAAAAATCTGAACTTTACATGTTTCCCCCCGCAAATTCATGTTTATTTAAACTGGTACAAATTCTAATGAACATTAAACTAATAATGAGTTTTTCGGAGTGCAATCATTTCAAAATAACAACATTTCAATCAGAATGAAGATGAGTATGGACAAAGAGATCATTTTGGGGTAGAAAAACAGACTACATGTATGAATAATATAGTATAATATAATATTTATTAGATACAAACAAATATAATTAAATAAAAAATTATTATTGATGATTTCTAGCATTATGAATAGTTGTAGGCGATAAATTAAGCAACTGTTTTGGTGAGTCTCTTGCTATCAATGCAATTTTGATGAAACTGAAAGCAAAAGCAAAATATTGGCAAATTGAAGAAATACTTTGAGATGGGCCTTGTCTAACACTGTTCATAAATACAAAACCGATTATAAATATGATTATTGCCCATGTACATAACTTTGATAAAAGAGAATTTTTGATGCAAAAATATTGAGGCTTCAAATCGTAGATAATATAATGTATGGAGTTAAATATGAAAAATATTCTGAAAGCAGCATTGTGAATACTGTAATTTTCGCGAATTGAAACGCAAGAAAACACAAATAAACAAATTATTGGCCAAAAACCAAAACTAAATGTAACGAATAAGAGTAATTTGTGAATCAGCTGTAAATTTCCAATGTTTTGATGAATGGCAAGAATAATTGAAAATAGTCGACATGTTAAGACAATAATCAATAAAATGCACTCGATTCCCATTGTAACTGCAAATATTCTTGATTCAGGGAAATTTGAGACTGATAATGATATTGTAGGAAGATAATTAATATCCCAATGTTTGAAAGAATAATAAACAATCCAACAAGCTGTCACCGAAATGAATGGAAGTATTGTAGCAATATAGTATATGAACTTTATATTTAAAGTTGACGCATGAGGCACACCAAGTGCGTTTGGATTCATCTGCTACAATCTTAAAAAATGGCAAAATCTTCATGCAGAGTATATATTAATAAATAGGGCCAATGTGTTTTCAATGGAACTCGTATGATTTCAAAATTTAAAATTGCATATTAATTATTTCAAGAAAATTCAGTATAATCTGAGTCACATAAGGCTAACTCAACTGCACTCAGACGGATCTGATATGTACTTTCTCATGTTTTCTCATAAAATAAAAAATTATTAAAAAAATCGATAAAAAAAAGGAAAATTGTAATAAGAAGAAGGAAGGAAAATGTTATTTACGTACTGGGAAAGAACCTCTCGACTCTTTCTGGGCAATTCCTTTTTCGACTTTAATATGGCTGTTATTAGGCATATTAAGTGGTAATCTGGAATTACATGCTGCATCTGCTTCTTCTTCGTTTTCAAATTCAATATAAACTGTATTATGAGTAAAATATTTGCTTGTTACGTTGCCATAGCATCTAAAGGCAGCGACAACGTCATTTCCATTATATGTATTAGGTAAATTAATAATAGTAATGGTTTTTTCTGGATCGAAATTATCGTATCTTTTTGCGCTTTGAGAGATTCTTTTGAATTGGGGAACGATTTGCTGTGATTGGGCTGGTTGCTGAATTGGGGTAAAAGCAGGTGGCTGAGGCTGTTCAAATATTCCATATAAAACTTCATTTGTTTGGGATGTAAAAATATAGAAAATATCGCTATGAATAAGCCAAACAAGTCCATTTTTCTTGAGCATGAACTGCTGGAAAAACATTTTTGGACCTAAATTATTGAAAATTGAACCATATACTGAAACAACAAGGCTTTCGCCCGCAGAATATGTTACATATCTAAAAATTTTAACAATGCTTTCATTTGGTTTAAAAGGAATTAATTCATGTTGTAATAAGCAAATTTGAAAATTAGTTTTTGGTGGATCTCTCCTCAAAATTGCATGAGTATCGTAAAGTTTGGGTATAGCCGAAGGACATCTATATATCAATCTATAATAGGTGGCAACAAATTTCGCCCCAAGTTCTTCTTCGTTTTCCATTACTCCGACGACGATAAAAAAGTTTGAAGTCTTGATTTTTCTCAGGATTTTTTTGGCTCGTCATATATTCCATAATTCGTCGAAGATTTCAATGATATATCGATGCAAAACAATGTTTGGAGATGTTCTGCTGGTAAATTCTACTTCTTTTTCGAATCAAATTCTCTAAGTAGAGATGACTTATTAAATACTTTTGAAATTTTACTACAAAGAACAAAACTAATTGGTTTCTCACTTCATAACTGATTTTGGAACATGAAGTCGAATGTGATATTTTAAATTTAGATCGAATCTTAAAATATGAAAGCAAATGTATAAAGCATATTTTAAAAATCGTATTAGAGTTTTCGAAATAATAAAAAAAAACGTCTTACATGTCCAATCTTTGATCATCATCAACATCTGTATATGTGTAGCTGTATTCATAGTCATCGCCATCGATGAGAGCTGGGATGTTCTCATCATCGTATGCTTGGCCTTTCTGAATTCTGTTATTTCCAAGACCATCCTTGGCCTCGTGCTTCTTGAGAATTGGGTAGAAAACTGTAGCAGCAAGACGGTAGAAACCGAAAATAAGAATACCGAAGCAAGATGCTGGGAACCAACCGACAGAAACTCTGCAGAGTGGTTCGTTCAATGTCATTTCAATGAACAATGGAGCTGAGTTTGTAAGGGCCATCAAGAAAACCCAGAAGAGACCCTTCCAAAGTTTTCTAAAGCAGCAAACGCAAACCATCATTAAGAAGTGAGCGTATATGAAGCCAACTGGTAAGCCGAGACCAAATACTGCAATTAATGATTCTGCAATGTTCTTGGAAAGGTTGATTAAGGATAATAATCCAATAAGGGATGAAATGACAATTGTAGCGATTGTTGTTGTAGTGGTTGCTGGAATAAGTTGTGTATCTAGAAGGGCGATGCAAAATAGCATTGTTTCGCCTGCAACTAAGGATACCATTCTTAATGCAAGAAGGGCACGAAGTCCACTGCCATCGTTTGGAGCAACTGATTCACTTAAGCCCCAGAAGAATGCGTAAATGCCGAGAATGAAAAAATGAGCTTTCCACATAATCGCACCGCGAGTTGGTCGTTGATTTTCCCATTTAGTAGGCCATTCTTTAAATGAACTGTTGAATAATACGAAGAAGAAGCAAACGATTAAACCGAGGATCAATGCAATTACGCTTAAAATTGACGGTCCCTGTCCAATTGTTTCGTACAGACAGCCTGAATTTTCTATGATATGAGCGAGCCTGCAATATCGATAATTATAACGTTCGCATAAGTATCCAAGCTTAGTAGACATTTTGAAGCACTTTTTGAGAAGGGAAAAAAAAGAAGCTTTATCTAATCATTAATGATGGCTAAATAGATGAAAACACATGGACATATAATAATATTTGCGATTTTCATATTCTTTGAAAGGCTCAAAAAAAAATTTCTTTCATTTTATTCCGTTACGATAGAAAATTTACAAAAAATTCATCAACATGAACTCTAAATAATTTTAATGAGTGGATTTTTTCATATCTCAATTCGAAGTTTTTGAATGGATAAACTGAGATTTTATTTTTCATCAGATGTTTTCCATATTACCAGAGCATTTACAAGTTCGTTGGGATGTTTGGACTATGTACCTTATAATACCCTTGTGGCGGTATAATAGCTTTTTTTAGAAATAGATTTACTCAATAAATTCATGCAAACATTAGAGTTTGTATTATGTTCATCATATGAAATATTTATCATTCTAGTTTCTTTACTTGTTAATCATATATTTTCTTGAATTGCTAAGAAATTTCCATTATGAAATTTCTATCTATATTTAATGCAAGAATCCTGAAGTCATTAAGTTGCAATTCAAGAATATGTAAACCTCATAAACGGAGATTCGATTACAAGTATTAAATGCTAATTTCGCTTGTGAAAATAACAAAGTATGCATGTATTTTAGAGAATAATGCTTGGAAAAATAGATGTAGATCTTAATAGCATGTAGAAATTGAAGAAAAAAATCATTTCAATAACAAAATATCACGTGATATTGTTCATGAGCGCAATTAAGTTCAAATACAATGGTATATAAAATTGTAATGTGTGTGTTAAATGTTGTGCTTGTTTTCCTAGAATTTGATAGAATATCATTGATGAAACAAAAATTTTGGAATTTAAAAATGAATGTTATTTAAAGAAAAGGTGTTTTTATCTCTATAATCATAAAAAGACAAAGGAGAACTTAAAGTTCTGGTATAACTCCAGCATATGATAATTTTCTCTTCATATTCTCTGTTTCTTCGTCATAAGAATTGCTCTCTTCCTCTGTGGCAGCTGTGTCTTTGGCTTCTGTTGACTTTCTGAAAACAATTGAACCAAAAATAATTGAAAGAATCTGAATTCCGAGGAAGAAAAGGAATGCATAACCCAAAGTCAATCCAGATTCAAGATAAGGCCAAATTAAGACGACCAGAGTTCCCAATCCCCAGTTTTCTGCACCAGAAATTGACATGGCTGTAGCACGAAGTTCAACTCTGAAGATATTTGAAGCTGTAGCGAATGGAATTGGTCCTGTTCCAATACCGTATGATAATTGTTCTAAGAAAAGTCCAATCATGAAGACCCAAGATGGTAAAGCGCACTTTTGATGCAAACAAAGTAAGAGGAAAGCGATTAACTGACCCGAAGCTGATGTAATCCAGCATGCTATTGTACCAAGTTTATCAACAACAACTGCGGAAATGCAAGTAGCGATTAATTGGACAATATTTGTTAAAATGCCAACAACACTTGTGGATATGTTAATTTTGGCATTAGTAATGATGATCTGCATGTTAGACATAACAGCATTAATACCTGAAAACTGTAAAAAGAACATGCATAAGAAGGCAATTAATAATTCCTTCTTATATTTGCAAACTTGACCAATAGATACTTTAATTGCTTTGTTTTCTTGCTCGGGTATGAACAAAATTCCGCAAGCTATGATCACTGATGGGAAGCAGCAAATTATTGAGGTATATCTCCAGCTAATTAAAGCGCCTAAGATAGTTACGGTGAGGAAGCCAATTGCAAAGCCAATTTGGTTCATAAATCCGAATAAATTCTTTTTGCCAGCTGGGGCAACTTCTGCAATGAAAGATGGGGTGATTGTTGAGTACAAACCGATAGTCATACCCGTTAGACCTCTAAAAACGAATACCATTGGCTTATTTTGTGATAAACCAAGTACAATCCATACTATAATTCCGTAGATGGCCACGCAAAAGCCAGTCCATCTCTTGCCAAAACGATTTACAAATGGTGTAATGAATATAGAGCCAATCATTGCGCACAAATATCCAACCACATTAAACATTGTGGACTCTGTTTTTGTTAAGCCAAATCTATCTGTAATTGGAGTAAGAGTAAAGGAAGAATATACTAAGCCCAAACCCATATTGATGCCGCCCATCATAAGGATAAAACCACAGACATAGGGGTTGCTGATTTTAGGAAGTTTCACCATATTATTGATTTAAAAGATTTCAAATTGTGAGAACCCGTTCAATTTTGATCCCAATTTTGAGAAGACTCATGGTCAGACTTGTATAAATTTTTTTCTCCTAATTCAATTAATGAGGTTAATGAATATTGTAGAGCAATAAGCCGTGAAGGAAGAAAATTGATTTCATCGTTTATATCGTGTTCTGGATGTAATAAATTTAATCATCGTTTCGGAAAAAGCTTTAAAAGCCCTACGCCCAACATATGAAATCCGCAAAGGTATTTCTTATGTCATTCTATGGGAATTAGGGTTTTTACAGCTCTCTTTGAATAAAAATCTCGAAGTTGTCAATTATATTTATGCCCGTTCCTATTGAAAAATTGAGAAAAATTCTATACGATACACGGAAATATTTTAAACAAAGTTATTCGAGCAACATTTCTTGATCGAAGGGTAATATATGCATTAACAACTGAGATATTAAATTTCTTAAAAAGAATACGAGATTTATGGTTTTGCCTCAATAATTTTGGGTAAATTACATCATTGTATAAATTACGTATCCATTACATAAGTTAGCAGCAGTTATTATTGAATGTTGAATCTGAACCATGATCAAAAATTCATTTTGTTCTGATATCGATGAATGGATATCTATAAAGATGAGATTCTGACATCACGATCAACAAACTTATTTGCAGATTATGAAAGCAATGAAAGTCTTCAAAAATTAACAGATGAATTCATTATTCAAGACTTGATCGATCAATTTAACACATCCGAAACTGAAATTCTACCACAATTACTAAACTTACGCGATGCAATTAACAGTAATCGTATCTTAAACTGTTCACTTTTCGAAGAAAATCAAAATTTAGAATTGTTGAAGCATATTTTACTTACATCAATCAATATCAGTTATAAAGAGATCATTTCTGATATATTATTTGTTTGTTTCAAGAAGATTTCACCCGAAAAACTCAATTTATTCAACGATATAGAGTTTTTTAAGTATTTATATGATAATTGTGATCAAAGACATGATTATGCATTTAAACTATTAGGTATCATTGTGACTTTGTCCCAAGATGCCAGAGATTTTTTGTTTTCGGATTGCAGCATTGAAACTCTCTTACAAAGCTATTCTATGAAGCAAGATTCATTAGATAATCTTTTATGGCTGATATCATGCGCGTCTTATCTTGATACAGAACGCTATCCAATTTTGCTCAATTTTGCTTTAGAATGCATCAGTTCGAATCAAGAAATATCAATGATGCAAATGAGATACCTAACATACATACTTTATTGTGTTTGCAATAATGGCCATGCATCTGATGTATTTTCCCATTCTTTGTTCACCTTCGACCTGATTAGCAAAATATTTTCAATTAACGATATTAATTCGTCAAGGCAAATGCTTCGAGCAATGAATTTAATGATATACCAGACCCAAGGAACTTTCCAACTCCCAACAGATTTCATTTCATCATTATTACATCATTCAAATCCGAACATTTTGAACGAAATCTTCGAGTTTATTAGGTATTCTACCGTATTGAATGCTGATTCTGCACAAGTAATGGTAAATGAAGGAATAATGGATACTTTTTCTGATATTTTCCAAAATGGATCAACATCACAGAAGAATATAGCACTTCCTGCTATGGAATCTATTGTTGCCAATATTGGAAGACCGAATTATCTCCAAGTTCTACCTCACTTGATGCAATTCTTGGATACTGATGATGAGGAGCATTGTTCAATTGCTCTGAGATTGTTTTATAGATTTTTCAATGCTTGTGACGATGATGAAATTCTCAAAGATTCAAAACAGCATTTTCAAGAGGAAGGCGGTATGGATTTGCTTAATGAACTTCTTGAAAATGATAATCTGTATGATCTTGTCGACTCTATTATTGATCTTTTTAATGATGAAAATCAAGTTTAAAAAAAAGCGCAATTCAGAAGTATTATAAGAACATATAGTTCATATTTTGAAACAATTGAAGAAAAAATATAATTATCGCATTTTTATTTTTTCATATTTTGTATTAAGAGAAATTAGAGTTAGATTTGATGTTATTTGTTAGTTTATTAAAAAAATAAATATATTTGTATTAGACTCGAATAACAAAAATATATTTCTCAATAATATTTTTCACGATCATCCATGATTTCAATTCAAATGGATGTATAGAATGCCAAATGTGCATAATTACGATGTGCAGTTATAAAACTTATCTCTTTCATAAAATACAAAGTAGTATATGAGAGCGGGTTGTGTGACTTTTTTTGTAAACGTAAGAATTCATACAATATTGAACGATTTTGTATCATTTTTTTGACATATGAAGTAAAAAATGTATGATTCTTACGGTTTTTATTCTTACGTTTTAGAATAAATCAAGATTTAAAAATGTTCAAAATTGTAAGACATTTACACTCAACCCATACATAAAAAATATATTTTATCTTTTATAAAAGAAGCTATATATATATAGATGATGTCAGATATTCCACAATTAATTAAAACAAGTGTTTAAATCATGAATGGAATCAATGGAGTCATAATCAAAGACCTCATAAACGAGTAAAAGAAACTTTAAAAACTAATGATTATTTGAATTTATGAAATCAATTATTTGATTCATTCTTTCTTCAATCTCTTCTATTCTTTTTGTAAAATCATCTATTTTCATTAATGAGGTGATTCTTGATTGAGGAATAGATTTCAAACTAACCACCCCCTTTATTTTTGAAATTTTGAATCCATCAACTTTAAACATTTTATTCAATTTACACGTTGTCAATTCTTCAAATAATTTTTTATTATTAGCATAATAGTCATTAAATTCTTCGACAGATGAAAAAATTTTTGTTTCAGTAATTGGTTTGACAACGTTTATTTTTTGTTGAACATTTTCACTTTCATTTATTTCATCCTCCTCTGTTTCATTTATTTTTAAAATCGGTTTCATTTATCATTAAATAAAAATTAGAATATAAGTGATAAAATATATTTTTTAATTAATATTAAATCAGAAATGGCGGCAGGATTCTTTAAAAAATTATGGGATGGAATTAAGAAAGCTGTGGGTTGGGTTTATAAAAAGGTTATTAAACCTGTTGCAAACTTTTTGGCACCAGTAGCGAAAACGGCAGGAACTATCATAGGTGGGGTATTAGGTACAAAAGCAGGTAATCCAGCGATGGGAGCACAAGCAGGTAACGCAATTGGTGGAATAGCTGAAGGAATACTTAATAAAATAGGAGGTAAATAGTGGAAAAATAAATAAATATTATTTTTATCTTAGTATCGGTTGTAGTCTTTGATAAACTTTTTCTCCTTTATTTAAAATTTCTCTTATTGGGGCAGCTTTTGGTGTTATTGATTCAGCTACGTCACTAATTGCTTCTTTATTCTTAAATATCCAATTTGCTCCCTTCTTCATTGTTTCCCAAACTTTACTCGCTCCTCGTTTTACTTTATCCCACAGTTTCTTAAATATACCTGCAGCCATAATTAATTATTTCATTAAAATTAAAAATTCATTTTCATCTTTTAATTTTGAATTTTTATTTATTAATAAATGACGACTAACTATTTAGTGCCAAACACTAAACCAATTAATGGAAATGTGTTTCATTCATTCGAAAAGATAAATGAAATATTCGCAAAGAATGATGGTAGAAGATATTATAGAGAACTTGAAAGTTCATGCTATGACTCTGATGCTCCATATTTTGATGATAAACAAACTCATTTAAGAATTACAAATCCGGCTCATGATGTGAACCAATTAGGTGACACATATATTAAACGCAAAGTTAAAGCAACTCTAGTTTCAAATAAAGCTTTCACATGTGATGCCGCTTTTAAATGCATGCGTTTATTCGTTGGTTACAAATCATCAAATCAAAGCTTTAAACAATTAGAAGTAGAAACCGAAAGAGGTGATGCCGGTTATCTTCAGATGGATTGCGCCCGTGAATCTTTCGCATTTGCAACATATAAACCAAAATCAGAAAGGAAAGTTAAAAAGTTTGTTCATTCGTTATATAATAATGTTCAAAAATATGATAACTCAGTATGTGGTAAATATATTGACCCTTCAGAAGTTTTCAAGAAAGCAAATGAAGAAGTTGATATCACTTTTGATATGATTATTCCGGTAAATGATTTGTTAGCATTTCAGGCGTTCGATGATTATCCTAAATCATTTGGTGATATCATTCTTAAATATTATGTTTTCAGGGATACTCTAGTATTTTGTCAGGTTGACCCGTTAAGAGTTGCTGATTTACAAAATTACGTTTATGAAAAGATAACTGATGAAAATTATGAAAAGATTATGAATCATGTTTATAAATATGATCGCAAATTCCAACAAATCGGACTTCCTGCCAAATTAATTACAAGCTTAGCCGCTACAACTGCTGAGGCAACAGTTGATGACGTTATTATTTCATGCACAAAGATGGAAGTTTTAGAGGATAAATGCATTACACCAGGATACGGTTTAATTGAAGAATCAGTTAAAGCAATACCACGTTTATTCAGTAAGGAAGATCCATTCATGATTCCAGCTCAACATATTGACGTTCGTTCACTAAATGGAGGTTGCATCACTCCTGAAGGTATTAGCTCAGATTTCTCATACGCTCTTCATAATGTTACAGATGTTGTGTTAACATTTCCGAAGAATGCAATGCAAAGAACAGTTTTAGAAAATCCAATGCTTCGAGGTCTTCAGGTCACTGTAGATTCCAGAAACTTCCCCGATCAAGCGATGACCACAGTGGGTGACATATTCTTTACACGTATGCTTCAAGCTTCTGATTTAGATGGAGTGAATGAATGCACAGAAGAATACGAGGACTCATTAACTAGACCACTGAATGCAGATGATGGCACGCCATTAGCTAGAACATGGAAAGACCAAACTTCATTCTTATGCACTATTCCAGTTCAACGTGATGGAGCGGGTATATTCTTTGATGGATTAGAAACTTTCAACTCACAAGTTACAGTACAAGTGAAAGCTTATCCAATCATTCAGGGTGAAAATGACACTTACTGTTCAAAGGTGACAAATCCTCCTCAGGTTTGGTTTACTAGGACTACATATTGGACATGGACACCGGACGAAGGTTTGAAATATCATCCAACAGGTACACCACCACAGTATAGAAGTTCATATGATGAAATATTGATGAATAGAAATGTTTAAAATTATAAATTTATTTTTGATTAAATGGATTTAAATTCATACACTCCTTATGAAGAATTAGCAGGAGTATATAATACATACGTAGATGATATGATTAATGAAGCATTGAGTGATAATAGAAATGCTCTATCTAAGGAAAAATTAATGAAAATTCCATATTCTGAATGTTACTTAAATTCAATCACTGCAGCAATTGGTAAACAGAATAAAGGTAAAACATTAACGATATTAAAACAAATTATCATTATTGCTAACACTTCCCCCTATTCACATGTGTTAATTTATATCAACCGTTCAGGTTCACCTTCAGATGATACATTTGAATCTTTAAAGCATTTAATCAAAATTCCAATTATTTATTTATCACAAGAAGAAGCAGAAGATTATTTAAAAAACTTTTTAATGTATAAAGATTATATAATACAATCAAGAAGCAAGGATTAGAGGATAAAATTATTGATAAACAACGGAATGAATTATTTGAAACACTTTCTATTTCAAATTTTGATAGAGAATTTTTGCATTCACTCATTTTTCTAGATGATGCAGTGAAATCAAAACTAATAACAAATGAGAAATCATATTTTAATCAGTTATTAACTCAATGTCGACACATTCAGTGTTCATTCTTTATGGCTGTTCAATATTTCAAAGCATTAAGCACAAACATTAAATCAAATCTATCAACACTTTTCATTTTCAGCGGGTTTATTCGTCAACAGTTGAACGTTATGCTTTATCAAGTGAATTTACCAATGAGCATTAATGAACTTTACACACAATATCAGCAATTAGGTGAACATGGGAAAATAATAGTTGATTTAAATAAAGGGGGTGTTAAATTTGATTAACTTTTTATAATTAATTTTTATTTTTTATTTATAATTAAACATGACAGAAATAGCAAATCTTTTACGGGTTCCATTAAAACAAGGGACAAACAAAAGGGGTGCATATAATAGAACTATGAAAGTTCCTGATGGAATGAAAGAATTAGTTCATATTGTTGCTGGTCTTCAAAAAGATGTTAAACAAATGAGAAATGTTTTAACATTACCAGAAGCTCAAGCATATGCCAAACGTCATGGTTCAAATTGGGAAGCACACGAAGCAGACATTACGGGTCCAAATGGAAAACCTGATGGTATAAATGAAGTTTTCGTTACTGATGGTCAAGGTAATATTAAAGTCATAAATGGTTATAAATTAACTGTATCTGATTATCCTAAACGTAAAGCATATAATGAACATTATCCTATGCAATTTGATGAAAATGGAAAAGCTGTTAAACAATACATTGGAGAAGGTGAAAATGGTCCAATTAATTCATACCGTCATAATCCATATTCTTATTTCAATGAAGAATTAAATGCTATTGAAGAGGGACCGGATGGATTACCACGATATTCTAACCAGTTTGATGGTCAATATGCAAATATTAGACCTGAAATTTCAGCTAAGAAATTCTTTAAAGTTGCTTTATTTGATCCAGTTTTCGCAAATGTTAAAGATGAACTTAAACAGCAATTCCAACCAATTATAGTAGCAAGAATTGCATCAGGTGCTTTATCTCAAGCATTCAAAGATTTAATTAAGAAACCATTATATCAGCAACGAGGTTTAACTTATGATTTAGTTAAGGAATCAGATAAAAGAAAATTTGAGAAATCAGTTGATTATAAGAATGCAATTAATGAATATATTCGGTCTATTAATTTCGATGAAACAGCTAAAAATCAACTTCATGAACAAATACAGGGAATAATAGATTCAAAAGTTCCAGCAAAATAAAAGTTTAAATATATTTTTTTTATTCGATTATAAATGAGAAGACGTTTCACTAGTCAAAAGAACACTAACGCAAAAGCAGAGATTACGGTTGGTTATAACGTAAATGATGATAAATCACGAATTATTCAAAATGTTAAAGTTAATGTTAGCCCTGAATTAACAAGGTCAGCAACTCAACCAAATTTATTAACTCGTGACTTACCGAAGAATGAGGAGAATGAAGAAAACCATGAGAATGGAGACCCAATCATTTTATCTGAACCCGGTAAAGAACCCGTTGAAATTCCCACTTATCCAACATACCCAGCACCTCTTTCATCAAACATCGAGAACCCATATAAAATAGACATTAATTTTGAATTAATGAAAATTTACCGTGATATAATAATTAATAATTATGATTCAATAATAAATTTAATTGACCAATCCGGTTTAATTATTTTACCTTATGAATCATTAATTCACATTATCGCCATTCTTTGTGATGTTCAAGATTCAGACGTTAAGATTCAATTTTTCATAGATGATGAGGTTTCATGCTGCGGAATAGTTGCAAAAATAAATCCTATAAAGGATATTAGCACAATTAAGATATCAAAGAATGGACAACAACTGAACTTCATTTAACATATAATGATATTTATAATAAAATAGTTGATGAATATAAAATATCACTTGAAAAATTCTTTGTTAAGGCTATTTAATATTCAAGCATTAACATTAACGAATAATAATCCTTTGAATCATAATCAATAATAATTGACCTTTCACCAGTTTCTATCGTTTGTTTTATTTCTTTTTGTTCCCCACTATCTGGATCAGTCATTGTAATTGTTTTTGTTATAGTATCAGCTTTATCTTTAACTTCAATCTTTTTTCCATCGGGATATTTAAACCAAAATTCCAAAAATTCGATATTGTCAATCTGTTCATATTTTAATCTATCAATTGCATTTTTAATTCCATCTGAAAATCTTATGAAATGGTCATTATATGGGTTTGATTGAACTAAATTTGAATGAAGTGAAATATAACCCGTTGATGAATATGACATCGACTCATATTTTCTGAAAACACTAAAATTTATAACATGAATGAATTTCTTATTCGTTGAATTTATGAATTCTTGAGATAATCTTATCCTAGTTTTATTTATCACTGGAAAATAACGCTTTACCATATTTTTAATCGTAATAAAAAATGTCAATTATCAATATTATTTCGAATAATAGTTGTGAATTAAATTTAACAGTTAGCGGAATTTATAATGTTACTCTCGTTTCTGTGAGTGGTAAATTTAATCCCATTCTTTTAGACCCTTCAGATTATATATCATTTATTAAAGATGACCATGAAAAAACGTATGATATGTATATAAATAATGTGATAACGAAATGGGATATTAACATGATTTTAAGTTATTTAAATGAATCATTTATCGTATGGTATGAAGAAAATTTTAAATCAAAACCTGATAAACTTTTTGAACTTGATGAAATAAATAACCTTATTAAATTCCCGCTGAAAATTAAATTTTGTACTCCTCATTTTCGTTCATTGTTGGGGATATTAAATTTTGAAAAAGATGTTGGGGATGTTTTGTATTCTGACACTGGTTCCAATTTCATTTTAATCAAATGTGATAAAGTTAATACCCCAATGAGATTTTCACATCAAACATTAGACCCTAACTCTTACCCATCAATACAAAACATTTTATCCATCAACTTAAACACATTTTCTTTATCATATCCGTTTCAATTATCCGGGAATTCATTTATTCTTCATTCAAAAGATTTATCAAATATTAAATTTAGAATAACTACCTATTTGATTGTGATTTAGAATTTATGAATGAAATATTATGGCAATTTCAAATAGAAAAAATAGCTGATGAGATAACGGATTAAATATTTATTTTTAAATCATAATAAATGATTAAACAACAACAACCACAACAACTTAAGGCGCAAAGCACCCAGGTCCTTCGGACCATTACATACGCCATATATGCATATAATTCAAAGACGGCAGAACAAACACAAAGGTTGAAATATGGAGATTTGGAGATAGTATTAAAAAATGAGCGTTTCGAATTCGTTTGCAAAGGTGGTGCAGTGATATCAAATATAAAAGAAATTTTATTTATGAATTCTAAAATTAAAGGTATAACGGATGATATAACATCAATTCCACCAGAAGAACAAAGATATTACGCATTAAATGCATTTCCCAAAGTTTTGAAGATTGGAAGATTTAATTTAAATGAGGAATTCATAGATGGTTTCCTAAATGACATAATGAAGAAGGCAGATAAGGAATATGTGGATGAAAAAGATAATGAAATTAAAGAAAGGGTTGAATGGTATCATGAATGGGCATCGAAGATTTTTAAAACTAAAGCTGATACAGGATGGGTTTCAGGATGTTTAGACCTTAAAGCGGATAAAACTTATGTTAACGATGAGTTAGAGAAGAAAGCGGATAAGGAATGTGTGGCTAGTGAGTTAATGAAGAAGGCAGATAAGGAATATGTGGATGAAAAAGATAATGAAATTAAAGAAAGGGTTGAATGGTATCATGAATGGGCATCGAAGATTTTTAAAACTAAAGCTGATACAGGATGGGTTTCAGGATGTTTAGACCTTAAAGCGGATAAAACTTATGTTAACGATGAGTTAGAGAAGAAAGCGGATAAGGAATGTGTGGCTAGTGAGTTAATGAAGAAGGCAGATAAGGAATATGTGGATGAAAAAGATAATGAAATTAAAGAAAGGGTTGAATGGTATCATGAATGGGCATCGAAGATTTTTAAAACTAAAGCTGATACAGGATGGGTTTCAGGATGTTTAGACCTTAAAGCGGATAAAACTTATGTTAACGATGAGTTAGAGAAGAAAGCGGATAAGGAATGTGTGGCTAGTGAGTTAATGAAGAAGGCAGATAAGGAATATGTGGATGAAATATACCAAAGTTTGATAGGAACAACAAAAAATATTGAAACTATTGTTGGTGACTTTACTGTCAATGAAGAAAATAAATATTTTAGATGGCAGTTTGTACAGTCCTTAAAAAATGGTACACGGTGTAAACTCATTCCGAAAAATAACAATGAAATATATGTAAGTTATAAAAAGAATGATGACACACAAGTTAAAGTTCCATTAGAGAACAACTGCTACTTAAACTTATATGGAGACGAACAAAAGAAATATTTAAGAGTTTATGAAATGGCAGATATGACATTATCTGACCCAGCTCCAGCACCATATTATTATGACTATGGAGATGACGTCAGAACACCACATGTAGATGAACAAAAGTTAACATTATATTTAGATTATTATAGATATAAAAGATATAATGCAATAGAAAAAACGAGAATAGTATATTATTATACAGATGATAGAGATAAATATTATAGTCAAGATTTTACCTACCCTGAAAACATAAGATTATATTATAAAAAATATTCTAACACAAACCAGAAGAAACCAGAAATAGTAGCACTATATTTTAAGTTCAAAAGAGACAATCCTATAATATCTCATATGTTTGATTTAATGAACCCAGTAGGTTCTATTTATACATCTATGGATGCAAGAGGTCCTCAAGTAATGTTTGGTGTTGGTGCATGGGAACAAATAGTCGACAGGTTTTTGTATTGTGCAAACTCTTCAAAGGAAACAGGTGGAAGTAAAACGATTACAGGTGAAAATTTAACTGCACATAGTCACTACATAGATTTAAGCACATCTCAAGCGGGTTGGCATAAGCATAGATATTGGGATTGGTCAGGAATGACAAAAGGTAAAGGATATGATGTTAAAGATGACGTTAAGTTTGCTATAAATTGTTACTGGAGTGACACTCAGGGAGAAGGAAACCATACACATTTCGTTTCAGGATATACACAAACAACAGGACAAAGTAAAGAATACATGCCACCATTTATGACTGTATTCACATGGTATAGAGTTCAATGAACGCTCAATGTTTGTGAAACGAACTTTAGGAGCTCCAAAAGAGTGAACGGTATAATTTAAATTTTTATTTTAGTATAAATGAAGATTCTACCATATGGTGTTATTGGAAGAGATAAAGATGGAAACCCAATATTTGATCCAAAGTTAAAATTCAAGTTACTGACAAGACAACAACTTGAAAAGTTGTTGAAACCAAAACAGGATGAGAAAATGAGAAAGAAAAAAATTTAAATTATGTAATTTTATTTTTATCATAAATGACAAAATTAATTAAGCCAACTATTTCTAAATTAATGATACCAATGAAATCATTTCATGGAGTACTTATCCCAGGTTCTTCACAATTAGCCAGGACAAGTGTTGGGACTCAAGGTGGAACATTAGCGAATCCATTCAAATTATTAACTAAAGATGAAGTTAATAAAATGATGATAAAATAACTGATAACAAAATTTGATTTCAGTGCTACCATGTTACCGGGTGACGCTCGGTTATGTTTCCGTTAATGGTTTCGGGTTATTCAATAATACTTTATTTTTGAAGAACTGAAGGTGCTACCATGTTACCGGGTGCTACCAGGTAATTTAATTTCTTTTAAAAATGGTGACAACATGACATTTTGACAACAACACTGGAGGAAGGCATTTATGAATTATTTTTGAAGAACTGAAGGTGCTACCATGTTACCGGGTGACGCTCGGTTATGTTTCCGTTAATGGTTTCAGGTTATTCAATAATACTTTATTTTTGAAGAACTGAAGGTGCTACCATGTTACCGGGTGCTACCAGGTAATTTAATTTCTTTTAAAAATGGTGACAACATGACATTTTGACAACAACACTGGAGGAAGGCATTTATGAATTATTTTTGAAGAACTGAAGGTGCTACCATGTTACCGGGTGACGCTCGGTTATGTTTCCGTTAATGGTTTCAGGTTATTCAATAATACTTTATTTTTGAAGAACTGAAGGTGCTACCATGTTACCGGGTGCTACCAGGTAATTTAATTTCTT